TAACCCTAACCCTAACCCTAACCCTAACCCTAACCCTAACCCTAACCCTAACCCTAACCCTAACCCTAACCCTAACCCTAACCCTAACCCTAACCCTAACCCTAACCCTAACCCTAACCCTAACCCTAACCCTAGGTCACAGCGGCAGGAAGAGTGATGCTACGGATGATTTGAGGACATCAATGAACTGCTGGGGCTCTGAACTGTTCTTAACCGTCTTCACCTTACGGTCCAGGCCTTTAGCTACCCTGATCTGGTGTTGAGGTGACAACCCCGCGCGGGGGCCCATGAAACGCGCATTTGTCAAGAATTTTGCACTTGGCAGTATGCGGTCTGATGCGACCTTGTAGAAGCCCCGCTTAATTAACCGACGAGAAACCGAACACGTCTCAGTAAAAGTCACTCGTTTTCTCAATTCGAATTTGAATGGAATCAGTCGACGTTCTTGTAATTGGTACGTCGTCGATTCAACTGAACTCTCCTCGAGATCTCTTACTGACGGATCAATTGCAACAGGAGGAGGCCCGACCGGTCTTGGCGCCGCGAAACGTTTACACCACCTCAGCCTTCCCAACATCGAATGGGCGCTTGTTGATTCCGCTGATCGCGTTGGAGGACTGGCTACGACGGACACGACTAAGGAGGGCTTCCTGTTCGACGTCGGCGGCCATGTAATCTTCTCTCATTACGCCTACTTTGACGATGTCCTCAACGAAGCCCTTCCTCATCCGGAAGACTGGCACGTTCATCGTCGAATCAGTTACGTTCGATCGCTCGGCAATTGGGTACCCTATCCCTACCAAAACAACCTCGCTTTACTCCCACAGAAGGAAAAGATCAGGTGTTTAGAGGGTATGATCGACGCCGTTACCCACCCTGCTCCCAACAAGCCCGTGACGTTCGACGAGTGGATTCTCAGCACGATGGGTGACGGCATCGCTGATCTCTTCATGCGCCCGTACAACTTCAAGGTCTGGGCTGTCCCTACAACGCGAATGCAATGCCGCTGGCTCGGTGAACGCGTTGCTGCTCCCAATCTCAAGATGGTCGTCAAGAACGTAATCGAAGACAAGTGCAGCGAGAGCTGGGGTCCTAACTCGACTTTCAGGTTTCCCGCTGTCGGTGGAACGGGTTGTATCTGGTCCGCTGTGGGCAACACGCTTCCGCAAGAAAAGATCAGGCTGGGTGCAAAGGTCGCCAAGGTCAACACCGACTCCCGGACAGTCACTTTGGACGATGGAAAGGAGATCACATGGAAGAAGAACTTGATTACCACTATGCCCTTGGACTACTTGTGTTCCGTGCTCGACCCTCCCCGATCGGACGTCGTCGACGCCGCCAAGAATCTCTTTTACAGCACTACCCACGTCGTCGGTGTCGGTATTCGCGGTAAGCGCCCGGACCGCATCGGAGACAAGTGCTGGCTCTACTTCCCCGAAGACGACTGTCCATTCTACCGCGCGACCATATTTTCCAACTACTCGCCGGGCAACCAGCCTGAAGCTCACGTTCGCTTGCCGACCATCACCACTGCTGGTCAGTGGACGCACGAGACACCTACTGAGGGCAGGGGAAAGGACAAGGAGGGTCCATACTGGAGCTTGATGTTTGAGATCTCCGAGTCGACCATGAAGCCGCTCGACTCAACCACTGCTTCTATTCTCGCGTCCACCATTGCCGGCGCCGTCTCAACGACGCTATTACAGCCGGAAGACGAAATCGTCAGCGTCTATCACCGCGCTTTCGACCATGGCTACCCTACACCTACTCTCGAGCGTGATGGCGCACTCGATGTCATTCTACCCGCTTTGAAGGAACTCGGCATTTTATCTAGAGGGCGTTTCGGAAGCTGGAAGTACGAGGTCGGCAACCAGGATCACAGTTTCATGCTCGGAGTGGAAGCCGTCGATGCTTGTGTCTTTGGTGGTGTCGAGCTTACCTTGGGCAACCCTGACATGATCAACTCGAGAATGAACGATGAAAGAAGATTGCCCAATGCCAAGAAGGCCGTGAAGGAACTGGGCGGTGGAGAGGTAGACGAAGAGAAGCGTAGAGAGGTGAGGGAGAACATGGAAAACGCGAGAAAGTAGGATAAAAAGGATAACAGTTATACCCAGTTTGAATATCAATACTCCAGTTGAGTCTTGGCAAGATCTACATTAACTATTAACTAACCACGCCCCTTTCGCGATGCCCTTCCTCTAATTTAACCTTAATCTTCCACCGGCATTTGGTGCCGACCGCGAGGATTGAATTCCGATAACGGACCGCCAGATTAGTTGCAAGGAAGAGATCAATTGGATCAATTGGACGAACGACGACGACGGTGAAGATGGAGAAGTCAACCACTGATCAGAAAACGCAAGAGCTGCCTCCGCCGACGACTGCTTCCCAACCAGCTGTCGCAACACGCGACGCCATTCATCCCGCGTTCTACGTCGCCGTATGGATCGCCCTCTCGTCGTCCGTGATCTTGTTCAACAAGTACATCTTGTCAACATTGAGGTTTCCCTTCCCAATCTTCCTGACGGCGTTGCACATGTCATTCGCAACCGCGGCAACCCGAATCTTGGCAAAAACGACAAAGATGTTGGATTCGCGACATGAAAATCCTATGGATTGGTCTCAATGGAGCAAAAGCGTGTTGCCTATTGGAGTTGCTTTTTCGGCGAGTTTGATCTTTTCGAATCAGGCGTACATCTATCTCTCTGTGGCCTTCATTCAGATGCTCAAGGCTACCACGCCGGTCGTAGTCTTGTTTGCATCCTGGGGTTTCGGTATGGCTGCGCCGTCGAAGAAGGTATTCATGAATGTCTTCGTCATTGTTCTCGGAGTAATGATTGCAAGTTACGGAGAGATCCACTTTGTTGCGATCGGCGTCGCGTTCCAGGCTCTCGGCATTGTCTTCGAAGCAACCCGTCTGGTCATGGTCCAGAAGTTGCTGAGCTCGAGCGGGCACAAGATGGACCCCATGGTCTCTCTTCATTATTTTGCTCCGGTCTGTGCTTCCTTTTTGACGGTCATCGCTATGGTGTTTGAGGGTCCTCGTTTGAGTATCGAAGACATCCTGCGCGTAGGCGTCCCCTTCCTTCTCTTCACCGCGGCCGTCGCTTTCATGCTGAACGTCTCTGTGGTCATCCTTATCGGCCGCACTTCATCTCTCGTTCTCACCCTCTCTGGTGTATTGAAGGATATCCTTCTCGTCTCTGCGTCTTTCCTCCTCTTCGGTGATCCCATCACCGGTACTCAAATCTTTGGGTACAGCATTGCTTTGGGAGGATTGATGTGGTACAAGATGGGAACCAAAGAAATGGAGGCAGTGTTGATTCGTGCAAAGTCGTTGAAGTCGAAATTTGGCAGGCTCGGAAGGAGAAAGGCAACGGCGTTTCTCGTGATGTTTGCGACAGGCATTGCAATGCTGTACGTTTACTACGGCGACCATGTGGAGACGTTGAAGAGTGCTGCAATGGCGGCGAGACATGGTTATGGGCACCTATGAGCTTTGTGGAGTTGGATACCAGTATATCTTGGAAATATGAATTTTGTTTGGTAAAGATGCGGTTCTATTGATGGTATTTTCCGCATGTAAGAATAGTCCGTCACCTAATCGATGCTGGTGATATCCATTATGAAATAGTCGTCCGTCCTCACACACTTCGCGGCCGTCCAGCGGCATCGCAGCGTCACTAACAATTCCTCAACGACGGTCCCTCCAGTGCCACATGTCTTGAAGCGTCTTGCCTTCGAGTCCGCAGTTGGGACCCATGCCCCATTTCTCAGCGTACACATCCTTACCCGTGTTGATCCAGACGTCCAACCCGCGCTGGAAACCGTTGGGGTCAACGTAAAAGGGTTCACCCTCGCCGCCAGTTTGGCCCTTCTGCCAAGACAATCTCCCGGTCGGGTGGCCGTGCTTATCGTCGTGTAATGCATCCAGCTCTACCTTAAGCTCGCGATAATGGTCCATGTCCTTGGGCTCAAAGAAGAAATCGGAAAGGTTTGCGATGGCAGCTCCGACGTCAAAAATGTGTCCCGCAGTACATTCGGCGGTAGAGAAGCCCGAAAGCCTAAGGCGAGCGTTCATATCGCAGTCGGTGGTATAATAGGGAATGAGCGGATCCCAAGCGCCAAGTGACTTCATCGCTTTGACGTTGACGTAGGAAAGCCAATCGTACCTAAACCAGAGAAACCCCCAATTGGGCGAAGCAGTGTGTTCCTTCACGCAAGACAGTACGCGAGAGTAGAACGATTCGAAGTTCTCGGCGTCAGAGTCGGGCAGAATAGCCACGTCCATGTGCGACCAAAAGAAGGCGTCCCATTTGTTTTTGATGGCGGTGGAGATGTAGAGGTTTTGAAGTTGCGCAAAAGTCAGAAGACTTGGTGTCCAGTCAACGTTGACTCCGTACACATCCGTCAACATAGTATAGTTGCAAAAGAACGGGTTGGACGGAGTCAAAAGTCCAAGTTCATTGCTGTCCATCGTACCAGAGTTGTCGAAGACGTGGATCTGGGAAGCAGGCCAGCCAGCGGCGACATATGACGTGACGGTCTGGAGGAGAAGGGGGAAGTTGCGAGTGAATCCGATGAAAAGAGGGGTGCTGTGCATGCCAGATACGATATTGGCGGCAGCAACTGCAGGAAGTTGATGATCGATAGTGATCGGATTAAGCGTGCCCACTGGCTCGCGAGGAGGTGCGTCAGCAACTTCTTCAACTGGGGGGTTTTTCATACCGCGAACACCCTCGAAAGTCGACGACAGCTGTCCGTTGATCGTTAGAAGAGACAGGGTCAGCGCAACGACGGTGAACACGGCGATGGCAGCGAGAACGGATTTGCGCGGGCGCATTGGTTGAATTGCGAACATATCCGGATTACCTTCCCTTTCAGCTACTGAGCCTGCTGCCGGAGCCCGTCGATATATATTATAAGGGTATAAATAGAGAACGTCGTTGTTGGTTGGAAGGTTACCTATCGGCACAGTATATTCGATGTTTCGTCGAGGGCGCGCTTTACTTTGACCTTGGCGCGCGCCGCCAGCCGTCAAAGCCAACTGCGCCCAGCTGATTGCCGACGGATTAGCCGGGAGATTACACTCTAAGTAACCTTAAAGCCATGGAATCCTGGACATCGGCAAGGAATTATCTAGAGAAGATGTTGAAGTAGTTGAAGTATCTGTGCGTTTGTATGAGCTCTGCTATGTCGGTATCGGCGTCAATCGACTCGGTAACGTGTGCCCATGGCCACGGGCGGGAAACACTGTACGTGTCAGTCGCACGCTGTACGTGGAGCACGAGCAAGTTGGGGCATCGATCAGTACCGAGTGATGCTTGTGTAGGTCCTTGAATGATGCCTTCATCGAGGGATAGGCGCACACCGAGCTCCCTGTGCGTGTTTTACTAAGTGGTCAGCCTGTGAGTGACATTGCTGAATGGACCGGAAAGCACAAGTCCCCCGTTTACAGAATTAAGAACCAGTATGACGCGTCTGCTGATTCCTCTGCTCCTAAACACTCAGACTAGGCCGACCAGGGAAGATTGACAATGACATTGGGATGGTATGCTCTCTCCCCCGCGCATTCAATGACTTGACTGAAAAGCTTGTAGCACATTCAGATCCTCTACAGCAATACTCCTACGCTATATCACAATGAGGCAGCTGATTACATCAATGAATTGATAGCTACCGATCTCAACTGGCTCGATGTCTTTAGATACCTGCGCAAAATCGGGTGGACCTGGAAAAGGCTCTCAGTCAGAGCTGCCCAGCGCAATTCTACCCTACAAAGCCACCATAGCATCCACTTCGCCGACTACACCATGGATCAACTTGTTTTCCTTGACGAAACGGCCGTCGACAATAGGTCTGCTTTCCGCAGATTTGGATATGCTCCGCATAGTTCACCCGCGTGTGAAGATCGAGGCATTCAAAGAGGTCTGAGATTGTCATCATTACTTCCTGCGTTTTCCCAAGAAGGGATGATCTGCCATTCGGTCTACCAAGGGAGCTTTGATGCGCACCGGTTTGTGGATTTTATGGCGGATAAGCTGCTGAACGTGCTGAAACCCTTCCCAGCAAAGCATAGTGTGGTTGTCATGGATAACTGTGGCACTCATCATGATCCCAGGGTGCGGGAGCTGATCATTGATCATGGATTTCGAATTGAATACCTACCACCGTATTCGCCGGATCTCAACCCATAGAAATCGCATCTTCAATGCTCAAGGCTTGGATCAAGCGCAACCGTGAGCACCCGTGGGCTATGGAGCAGCCGGAATACTTCTTGAGTGAAGGGTTGGAATTGTTGATCCATGCCTACCCTGAAAAGTGTTGCAATGTGATGCGTAAATGTGGGTACGGCTTGATTCCAGCTGAGGCAAGTACATGGGGTAATATTGGCGTAAATGAAACATATGACGAGACTCCAGGTCTGCTCGCTATGACATAGCATAGTACGTCTAGCCAAACATACACTCCATAGACCTTGCGCAGCTGCTTTCTCACGATAGTTTATGCTCGTTTTTGTGTGTGTTTCCCATACAATGTTTGGCATTCACTATCCTGTTGGAGACTCCTGGATGAACCAGGCACAAGCGCAGTGCTGGACGTCAGAAAACCCGAGGGCCATGAATGATCCAGCAAAAACCTTATTACAACTGCAAAACATGTCGGATTGATACAAAACCTAGTTCTACCGGAAGGCAGCATTCCAATCTACGAGGCAGCGGCCGTCTCGTCAAAAAATATCTGCTACTAGTCGATTTGTCTCCACTCGTCAACTTTTGCGGATTACAAAAATACGAGACCCTGCCAACCCGCTAACCCTCAAAGTCAATCGCCACGAGCATTATCTCGATCCCTTTCACAGCTCTCCGTCATTCTCGAGGTGGTGGAAGGTCTCCGAGACAGCAGGCTTGAAGATCCCCGATCCATCCGATGTAACTCATCCGCCAACTTACAGCGAGCCTTCTTACTGTGCTTAAACGCTGGCCAGTGATGTTTCATTGCCATGAGATGCCCCAGCTTCACTCCTGGAATCTCTTGCCCTGGTGGCAGATTCGGCAAATCATCCAACACCATACCATTGCACGTCAGCCTCTCTTCAACAACAAAGGGTTCGAAACCAGCATAAGAGGGTGTAAGCCTGTTGACAAAGTTCATGAAACCGGGCAGATCATTGGTGTCTGCGGCTTTCAATGGGCTCGAGGGAAGTTTATTAGGCGTGGGGAAATTTCTGGTCGAAGCGCCGACTGCGGTTAGGTGCGTCATGGAGGTTGCTGGAGTCGGAAGAGAAGCGGGACAGGGTGGCCCGTAGATGTCTACTTGCGATAGTGTAGGCTTGTTGAACTTAATGAAGGCTGGGGTTTTTGGGGGATCTGTCAAGCCGACGTCCGCATTTGGCATGGTCATGGCTTCTGCCCAGCGGGTAATATAGTGAGAGCTGTGCCGTTGATGGGTGTGGCTGAAGGGATTGATGCGCACGGGCCACCTTCATGCTTGGTGCAGATCCGCTGATCTCGACGGGTTTTGACATCTCGCTTAAACCGACTGTTTGAATTGATTGTTCTTGTTTGCCTTCTCAATATCCTTCAGCATACGCTTCGTAGGGTTGTTCCCGTACTTCTTTTCGCCTTTATCCTTGCGTCCACCCTTATTTGTCCTAGCAGCATTGGGTAGTTCACCATCGGATTCACTGCTGGTACTGTCGGCAGGTCTGAAATCAATCTTGAGCGTAATATGAACAGCCCACTTCTTCCCTTTACCTGCCCCATGCTGTTGAAGGTCTGAAACGGTCTCCTTCGATTGCTCGAAGTCTTCAGTGGAGCGCAGTCGAGACATCGGGGATTTTGTTGAACCGCGGATGATCTGGTACCCAACGTCAAGGGCATGGTCAGAAGCGGAGATGTCTTCAGGGCAGAGAGGATCGTTCTGCAAGTCCTCCAAGGCTTTCTCTCCAAGGGTCTTAGGAGGTTTGCCAAAATCTCCGTTGGTGAAATGCGCATATGTACGGCTTGGTGTTTGGGCGAGAGGTGCTATACTTAATCCAATAGGCCTCCAAGGCCCACTCATCATCATCGGACGCTTGAATCACCTCTCGAATTGCTGGAGACGCTGGGTGTAGATTGACAGGTTTTGCTGCGCGCACCGGGACCCGCGGTGGGGCAGTAGCTGGTGGTGGCACCTCAACGGTGTATCGAATCTGGAGTTTTGAGGCACGAGAAGATGCCCTCCGTTGACCTGGCTCAGGATCAACTTCAACCATCAATCCTAGACCTTTAATCGTCGAGTACTAAGGGTTTTTATTCTCGGGGTCTACAACTTCTTTTCCCGCACATGCGCGCCACATGTGATTCGCATGAGTTTAGAACTCAACTATAAGTGTTGCTTGTGTACCGTGGCCCAACAAAGTCGGCCACGAGGGCCGACGAGGAAGCCTGTAAAGTTAGAAGTTGGAAAATTCGATGAAACGGTTTGAAAAACGTCTTATTTGAAGCAAAATAAACACATTTTAGGAGGACTACGCTGGACTAAGAGGCCAGTCGGACCACTGTGCCAATCGTTGTGAAGTTGACCAGGATGAGGATATGGATGGCATTGATGTCAAGGAGGGTGGAGCTACCCTTGGGACAAGTGCATGTCTCCAAAAACGACCCAGTCCAGCTAAATTGCAACAACATATGGGTTACGGCCATCCTCCTGACGCATCGCACAGCTCAGAGGTAAAAAGACGAATGTGGAGCGATTTGAGCATCTGCATCAGATTGCACAAGCTGTGGATTCCATTTTGGAGGATTGTTACTGTCGGGTGCCCCTTTAGAAGGACATTTAGCACCTTATTAAAAAACGATGTTGACTTCAATTCGTTGAAACCATTCTCCTAATACACTCGTGTCACCCAAGACAACTGCATTGGTGCTGTAGGTATTCCAATGCCTCAAAATTACTGAACTGACCTGTTGTGTGCCTTAGGTTCAGAAGGTTTACCTCCACTTTCGTGAAGGAGAGTGCCGTGATATGGTCATCTCTTGTATCAAATGTAAAAATGATTACAGTGTCGCAGGTTCCGTGGGAGATATGATCTTGAAGTTCATGATGCCCTGAAGGAAGGTCGCACACCTCGCCCTCCCGCTGCAGATGTTGCTTACATCATTGACAGAAAGGGCAAACGTGGATGTCCACCTGAGACCAAACAAACAATTCGTGAGCCACTGCCACCAGTCACACAATCCTCCCGTACTCCCGCCGGTGGTGCTCGACATCGTGTCATTCGACTAGTCGGCAACAGTGCTCAGCCTGAAAAACGCCTGAAAACCGCCACCGCACGGAGACTAGGGAGGATCGTCGGAGATCTCTTGCCCGTAAGTCAGCTTCATCTCACAAGGAGCAGCCGATACTTGTGGACCTGGAGATGTAGATGAGGAGGAGGATATGCATGGACATGCTAGGCCTTACTCACCACACTTTGTCAATGCTGATGGCAAGAACACCACTCGTCAGTCTTCACTTACCCGCCCAGAAGCGATTAAAATGAAGGTACGCGGTAAGAAACAGCCAGGAGACAAGGCATTGAGGACGTCGGGAGCATCAAATCGGTGCAAGTTCAATCACAGTGTCGATCTGGAATTTGACTATGATCACAGTGAACGGGATTTTGGCAACGAAGACAATGAGGAATATCGAGTTGACTGTGGTATTGGGGTATTATCAATAGCTATCAATAGACGTGGATTGATGATGCGGAATGTATTGAGATTCGTGAACGTCAGATATGTGCACTCATTGGATAGAATAATTTAAGTGTGTAGTATCCATAAACTCGCTTAAAGAATTCTACTACCCAAACAAATTCTGAATTCATGTTGTGCCCACGATAACCAAGTTTCTTGAATAACTCTATTCGTGACTCGGGAGTATTTTTGATCTGGACATTTCATGTTTTGGAAATTAAGACCTTTTACTCATGGCAATGACAAAACCTGATTCCAAGTTCTGTCATTTCCATGCGCGCAAACTAACCTAATAAAATGTGGTATGTATATATTACACAATTGGAATAGTAGTGATCCTCACTTCTCAATACTCCGTAGTCATCGCTCGTGCCATCTCGTCAGCTCATCCCTGCTCCGTGTCTGTACATCGATATTGCTTGTACATCATTGAGTTTTTATTACCATCCCGAGTTACAGAACCATAGTTATTGCTACTGTAGCTCTATGAGGATACTTCTATCACAATATTTTTACCTAGTACTCTCGCTTTGTCCTAATAATGCTGCATGTTTCTGCCACATTTCTAGGTTTGGACCCGGTTTCATCATGGATTATGCTGAACCCTATCGTGTATTATGCTGAATAAGATCGTGGTTTCGTCCTGAAATCCATGATACGATCAAGGATTAATCCACGATTTGGATACTACATCAAACGAAATCGAACGGGATTTCGTAATCCATGATTTCTGCGAGTGTAGGGCTAGTTGGTCGAGCGCAGGTAAGATCACAGGGAGCCTGCTGATATGTTGGATTGACTCTTTGACTTCCTGAAGAAGGTGTGAATTGGGAAATTATAATATTTGCCAGTAAATGTGACGTTAGACGGGAAAGTTATTGATGGACCGAAGTTACGTTACCTTCAGCAGTGAAGCTATGGCATGGTGCAATTAGCGAGCGTGAAATAACAGAGAATCAGCTATAGCTGTTCCGCGAAGGTTACATGGATCACAGATCTTGCATTACCGTGGGTCATAACAGATGGAAATATGAATTAGAAAGGTGTTCCAGTTGTGGCGCTAAGAACCACGACGGAAACATGGATCATAGTCCTTGACATTATCATGGATTACGGCCTGGAAAGAACTTCCGCAGTTTATGGCATCAGACATAGACATAATTAGCATACATGACATCATAATGACATTACGGCCTTTGTGTGTGGCTATGCAGGAATGCGAACATATAAACCAGAGTCCACCAATCACTTGAAAAGTTTCCAAAAATCCTTGAAGTCACTACAAACAAAATCAAAGTCAGGTATGATAGATGATACTTCTCTTTGAGTGAGGTTATGCTAACATGCTTAGTTATAGACCTATCATACTCCTACCATGGCCGTTAGGATACTGATAATACACTTCATTTTCTCGCATTATCGCCCCCACAATGCTGCGCATTTGCCCCCAATTTGTAGCAAGTTTGAAGAATCTTACATGATAGAATCATGGATTAAACCTAAAAAAATCATTGATTATGCCCGATTAAATGAAGCAATGGGTGCGCCAAAGCCTGGGAAAATCATGCATAATCCGGGACAAAAAATCAACGATTGATCCCACTTTTCGCGCCACCATTTGTTTATGTCACTAGCCTCACTTCCCCGGCCGCAGGCGCGGGAACTCGCCATTACACAAGCGGATTACACGACCGCATGCTCGTAATTGTGACGCAGAAATTACACTATGCCTGTGCGAGCGCTTGTAACTACACAAGTGCTGGCTTCATAGGGACAATTAATGAGGTTCTGGTAGAGCTATGTATGGGTGCCCGGTGCCTTGACAGCCCCACGAACTCAGGAATCATCGATTAAGCCCGATTTTCCTTAGGCGCGCTTGTAATCAATGTCAGAATTATGGATTAGTCTGAGATAGACATGGATTCCGCGCGCGATCATGGGGTTACAATCCGCACAGAAATCCTTGACAAAAGTGGATTAAGCCGAACTTGAATGTGGATTATGCGGAAAGACATCATGGTTTGGGTTCCGAAATCCATGATTCTCGCGACCGCAGGGTGATAATCGGTCTGTAGATCACATGACGGCGGTTGGCATGTGGTCTAATCATACGACTGATTACACGGTCTCCCCGTGGTTTACATGCCAAGTAAACTATACATCATGATTTCTTGCTGATGTCATGTATATTACATGAGCGGATTGTCTGTAGGGCAATTATGCAAACAAGTATGTGGACGAGTATGGAAACGGTATGGGATCGAGTATGGCTCGCAGTCCTAGCTTCCACACCTCATTTGGTATGGATTTTCCGTGCCCTTTCGAAAGCCTGATAAGAACTGCCTCAATGCTGAACGCCGATCAAGCCTGACACTAACATCTGAAGAGAATAACGCTCACTTCATATGCACTGTCAAGCCTGTAGCGCGTGCATAGCATTATTGAGGATTATTCCGAGCACCGTGGTGAACCATACCCAATTGTATTCTGTGTTTTTGGCCACTGCATCATGGATTAGTACAAGTAGATTTTGCCAGAAACAAGCAGGGAATGTGCTTGATCGATTTGTGGATCAAGCCCGACCTTTGGAGATTATGCCGGCCCAAATTGTGCATGAATCTTGGATTATGCGGAATAAAATGATGAATCAAGCCCACTAAAATCGTGGTTCAGGTTCCGGGATTCAGAATACACTCATAGCGTGCAGGCGCCATGCCCGTTACCATAACCCCAGATTTGAGATCTCCCGAGAAACTTCTCCTTTGTAAAGTCATCAAAGCATATGCTGGATCAGCTGTGGATCCGTCTGGGGACTTTGGCCCTCTAAAGTGATAAATCATGGATTACACAAGATTTTTTTCAGGCAAGTACGTAACCCACGTCAAAATCATGGATTAGTCTGGGATTTCACGTGAATTAAGCACTGCATCGTGGATTACTATTCTGGCAGAAATTCCAGGCAGACAGTGGATTATAACCCTTGACAATATCATGGATTAAACTCATTGAAAATGTCATGGATTAGAATTACCTTCATGAAGCTGTCCGGCTAGAAACCGGAAACCCTTCGGCACTACCTATGTGAGGATCCTTTATTGACAGGTTAGGTTCAACCATGATTACCCTGTCATGAATGAAATACAATTTTATCTTGGATTAAGGGACCTTTACATGTGCTCGAAAAATGTTGGATCAATCCATCACAGCGTTCCGCATAATCCTAAAACATATCAGGTTTAACGCTCGATCATACTGGACTTGATCCATGATAACGTCAGGAGTGTGATCCATGATTCTGTCTGGGAGTCCTGCTAGAATACAACCATTACGAGATGTGTATACCACGACCACTATTCGGGATTCAAAGCCATGATGTAGGTGAGGATTATAAGCCATGATCGGAAGTCGGCCGCGGATTATGCATGATTTTCTCAGGGTACGCGCGCGTCTAACAAATCGGAATATAGACCACAATAACTAGTTTTGTAGGGATACCGTCGGGGATTTTGGGCGCCCTACTCGAGAATAGATTCAACCCTAAACATCTCAGCTTGTCATGTACCTAGAGCTTTGATGCATATGCACTTCAGCTCCAGGAATGTGCTCGCAAGGACGGAGCACCTTGTTGACTGACGGCTTTACGTTGAACGCCGTGTTGCAGCGTTCGACTCGTTCCTCAAGATCTATGGTACTCTATATGCGTAGGACATGTAACCTCCGCCCCTTTTGTATACCCACCTCTACATATGCATATGTCTGTTCACATAAGCAGTATCACAATCACGAGAAAGACATTTCGAGCTATAATGCTTCCATTCCTCCATCAGCACTTAAAAACAAAGTAACATGGGCTAAAAAGGAACACACTATTCGAACTACATCGAATGGGCAGCTGCAGACACTCGTGGGATTTTCTTTTCCAAGTCACTTGCCACGACATCGACCTCATTATAAGTGTCCTTTGCCTCGCCCTCCAATACCAAATCACCACGTCCAGCATGATAGGACTCAATACCCATGTTGGCGGCTTCTTCACCTGTGAACGTTCCAAACACATCACTATCATCTACTTCGCCAAGACCAGGGGGAGGAAAAATACGATTGATTCCGAAGAAAACGAGGAAGGAAATGGCGAAGCCTATATTGTATTGCCAATGTTAGTCCCAGAACACTGTCGGTATGTAATCGACGGTAACGTACCAAGAGGAAAGGCGAGATAGTTCAAGCGCATGGCAGGAGGACCAACGACAATACCCGGGTTGACGCTGGAGATGAATCCCGGCAGGGCGGGCGCAAACCCAATAACCCATGCGACAATGGTACGCCAGTTCACACCGGCTTTGTACCAGTAGATGCTGTCGGAAGAAGGCAGATAGAGATCGGAGAGCTTCAGCTGTTGACGGCGAATGATCCAATAGTCGCAAATCTGAATCCCGACCAAAGGTCCCAAAAAGACGGAATAACCACCGAGCACAGTCAGAAAGACGGAAGCCGAAGAGAGTAGTTGCCACGGTTGAAAGAGGATAGAGATAGCGAGTGTAAGATATGCACCCTGCGTATGAGTTAGCGAAGGAAGAACCCTGAACGCCTCGAAACGCACCCTGCGGATGTTGAGGTATTTGGGAAATAGCCCGGCAAAGTCCATCCCGCCACTGTAGGCGTTGTCGACAGTGTTGATCTGAAGAATCACATGAGTACACCGAACGTCATTCATACTCGAGGTATGCACTTACACCCAATTGCGACATGCACAAACCAAGCCCTGCGAAAAACGCAGCGGCCCTGGACTTGGCGGAATAGTCATCGAGCCATCTCAGCACAAGATCCGGAGGATTCCACAGCAACTCGCCGAAAATCTTCTGAGCTGCGGCAGTAGTGACACACCCCATCAAGGGAACGATTGTGCCAATGATGATGATACTGCCAAATTGACCCCAAACTTGGTCACCCGGCTTGCGCGCGAACCTGGAGTAGTCCGGCTGATTCGTGAGCCCCACAGCAATACTTCCAATGACTGTCGTGATCCCATGCACGACGCCCCAGCCAAGCTCCGTCGAGGAGTGCAACGTCGATGACTGACTCAGCAATGGGCCTGCGCCGTGAGCTGTGGCTAGAGCCCAGACCATAATAGAAAACATGGTTGCCGCAGTGATCCCATTGATGTACTGGAATGGAACTTTCGTCTTCTCTGGCGGAAGGTAGATGATGGGAAGCGAAGCCAAGTTGTACAAAATGAATCCCACAAACTGCTGGGTGGTCATATGGGCGGAAGCCGGGAGCGTATTCTTCATGTTGTGATATGTTGGAAAAATCGCCGACAGCATGGCTGTAATGCACAGTCCTCCGGTATAGCTTTGCACTCCGCACCAGACGATACTCAGCACAATCCTCTGGATCAAAGCGATGTACGAGCCCCAGATTCCCCATACGTAGCGGCTCATGACGGAGAACCCAATATGCCACTTAGCTCCAACCCATCCATTGAACACGGCGACAAGGGATATGATGATACGCGCAATGATGACCGCAATCATCGCTTGCCAGACTGACAAACCCAGACCTAAAAGAGAAGAGCCGGTTTGCCAAGTACTGATGCATAAGTTGTTGATGGCCCAGAAACCAACGAACGCCCAAGGACCCCATGTCCGGCGGGAAGGTGGGAGGGGAATGAGATCTGCGTTGCTCTGGACGGCGATCAGTACGAGGTATACGGACAAGTGCTGATGAGAACCTTACCCATAGAGAGGCGGCAACGCCGTGATGATCTGGAAGTTGGATTTTGTTTATGAGCCTAGAAATATTAGTCAGATAGGAAGAGGGTATAGGTAGTTGGTCACGTACCAGCTCATGTTGGCTCTAGTCGAGGATAAGTCCACAGCTATCGTCTGACTGCGAACACGGTGTACTTGTACAAGGCGTCATGAACTCGCAGAAGGAGATAGGTATCAGAAGATATACTCGCTACAGCACACTACGCTGATAGACTTTCCACCATTACGATAGGAAATCATGATCAATCCACACCTCGAACAGCGTAGACGATCCTCCCGAGGTCCTCGCAACGCCGCCTGATCCATTTGACTATCTGGACATTCACAGTCCACCATGCCCATTGCCCACTACCAATTGACAGCTCTCGTATATATCGGTAGGGATTCAATGTTTCGACTTCCGACGGAGTCCGAGGAGTTTGGTGGGGGAGCCGGTACTTGGCCGCGGTGTTTATCGATACCGGTAAGGTGGGGGACTGGGAAACCAACCACCAAAAGATGCCCCACCAAATCAATCAGCATACATGTCCGTTACGCGACATGATCTCGGGTCGGGTTGCGGCATACATGCTGTGCCATTGCCTATAAAGGTTTCCTGGTAGCCTTACGTCTTCAGAGGTACCTACCTACCTGTAAACAGAGTAAACATGGTGTCACCAAGCCCTTCCATCCGCATCGGAGTCGATGTCGGAGGCACAAACACCGATTCTGTTCTTCTCGACGAAGCCTTGCGATCTTCTCCCAACCGCGGTATCATTGCTCATTTCAAGTCACCTACTACGCCTGACGTTACTACCGGCATCGAATACGCCGTTAAAGCTGTTCTCGCAGATAGCAAGGTGGATCCGAAAGATGTTGCTTCACTCACCATTGGTACTACTCACTTCATCAATGCAATCGTAGAGCAAGACGTTCGCCGGCTGGCGAGCGTTGGTGTCATTCGATTGTCCAGCAACTTCACGCGAGCTACTCCGCCTTTCGTGGACTTTCCTCCTGCGCTGAAGGAAATCATGTGTGGCCACTACGGATGGGTCAGCGGTGGACTGCAAATTGATGGCTCTCAGATCCGCCCGTTGAAAGAAGACGAGATCGTTGCTGAATGCAAGATCCTGAAAGAGAAAGGCTTGAAGAATGTGGTCATCTCTGGCGTTTACTCGCCCATCGATGAGTTCTTCAAGCAGGAAGAAGTTGCAAGGAAGATCGTGCTCCGCGAACTCGGAGAAGATGTCAACGTCGTTTGCTCTCATGAAATTGCCAACCTTGGCCTCCTCGAGCGCGAGAATGCTTCGATTTTGAATGCTTCTATCCTCACATTCGCCAAACGCACCATCAAAGCTTTCCGCGCTGCGATGCGTCGTTTGAATCTTCATTGCCCTCTCTTTCTTACTCAGAATGACGGAACTCTTGTCGATGCCGAGTCAGCTTCTCGACTGCCTATTCGTACCTTCTCCAGCGGCCCAACCAACTCTATGCGCGGAGCAGCATACCTCAGCGGACTTGGTGAAGCAGATAGCGAGAAAGTCGGCATGGTTGTCGTCGACATTGGTGGTACGACAGCAGACGTTGGTATGCTTTTGCCTTCTGGCTTCCCTCGTCAGGCATCTGCATACGTTACCGTAGCTGGCGTGCGTATCAACTACTCCATGCCTGCAATTGAATCAATCGGATTGGGAGGTGGATCTATCGTCCGTGTCCTGTCCGACGGAAAGGTCACAGTAGGTCCTGACTCGGTTGGTCATTACCTAACTACTGCTGCTCGGGTCTTCGGTGGTGAGACCCTCACCGCCACCGACATTACTGTCGCTGCTGGAGATGCGGATGTCGGCAACTCGTCTCTTGTCAAGTCCGTTGAAGCCGATACGGTTGTGAAAGCGAAGGCCGCAATGAAGAAGCTGCTTGAGGATGTGGTTGACCTGATGAAGACATCGCCGGAACCTGTTCCCGTTTTGCTTGTAGGTGGAGGCAGCATCATCTCGCCTGTGGAACTGGCCGGAGTCTCAAAAGTCATTCGCCCTCCCTTTCACGATGTCGCCAACGCCGTTGGAGCTGCTATCGCCAAAGTTGGTGGGACAGTAGACACCATTGAAAACGTCTCGGACAAATCAGTCGCTGAGACGGTGAAAGAAGTCACAAACAAGGCGATTCAGAAGGCCATAGATGCCGGGGCAAGGCCTGATAGCGTGCGCGTGGCAGAGGTCGACACGATCCCTTTGCAGTATGTTGCCAATCAAGTCAGGATTGTCGTCAAGGTTGCTGGCGACCTCGACATTTCTCGCCTTGCTAAACAGGAGGTCTTGATTGACGGCTCCGACGAAACGGACGACGATAGCACAGATCATATCGAGGCCAAGAAGCAACAAGCTGCCTTTACCAAGTCTACGGCGAAGAGCGTCGGTGACATCTCAAGTTATCGCCCTAACATCATAGGCAAGGAATGGCACTTGACCGAAACAGACGTGGAATGGCTTGCTGATGGATGCTATGTCCTTGGCTGTGCCGGTGGCGGTAACCCATACCCCGAGTTTCTTCAACTACGTGATATGATCCGTGAAGGTCACAAGGTTCGCGTTGTTGACCAGCAGTCCCTCAAAGACGATGCGGTTGTTTGCTGGGGAGGACACATGGGCAGTCCTGCCGTATCGGTTGAACGTCTTGGTGCGGATGAATGCGTCGAGGCAATGCGAGACTTACTGGAATACATGCGATTGGAGGACTTCGACGCCGCCATGGGCCTTGAGATTGGTGGTGGGAATGGATTGCAGCCACTCATCATTGGTAGCTCGCGATACTTCAATAGGCCTGTTGTGGATGCCGATCTTATGGGCCGCGCCTACCCTACTTACTACCAGACCACGATCTGCGTGTACGAGGAGGGGCAGCTTATTCCAGCGGCTATCTCAAGTGGTGACGGTCGATCTATGGTCATGACCAAGGCGAACGACGATGTCATTGTGGACGTTGCCTTGCGGGCTGCCTGCTCCGAGATGGGTTCGCGAGTTGGCTTGGCAGCTCGTCCACTAACCGGTGCCAAAGTTCGATCGAGAGCTGTTCTCAATACCGTTTCGTTTGCCTGGCGTATTGGACGTGCTATTGCACTGGCCAACAAGACCAACACCGTCGCCAAAGTGGCAGATGCCATCATTGCTGAAGCAGGTGGACCAGAGACCGCAAAGAAACTCTTCGTGGGTAAGATTGTGGGCGTTGAACAGAAGTTATTCAAAGGTCACTCATATGGACAGACCATTATCGAGGCGCTGTCTAAGGACGAAGAAGAGCAAGACGGTCAGACCGAATTCTCCGGCAAACTGCGCATCCCGTTCAAGAATGAAAACATTTTAGCGGAGCTCGAGTTGCCGGACGGCGCGAAGCAGATGCTTGCTACCGTTCCCGATCTCATCTGTGTTCTGGATTCACAGAACGGGAGGGCCTTGGGTGTCCCTGATTATCGTTACGGACTTCGTGTCACGGTTATTGGTATTGCCGCGTCTCCTAGATGGACCGACACCCCTAGAGGCCTCGAACTCGGAGGTCCAAGAGCGTTTGGCTATGATATCGATTACACTCCACTTGGGGTCTATAAGCAGCCGAGGAGTGTCATTGAGGAGTACGGCGAGTGATTATTAGTATTCAATATTGTGACAGGAGACTATTATCATGTTTCATCGAATCTCTCAATCCTCTGCACCGCTTACGTTGCCTGTGCCTTGATCAATCTCCCTTTCACAAAAGCTAGAGCTTCGTACCCGGTCATTCCCTGAGCGTCTTCGACCACAAAGGATTCCCATGCTCCAGCCAGACCGAGCTCTTTGACAGTGTTCCTAGTGATGTGGCACCCTCCTAGCAGTTTACTCCACGTCTGGTCAAGTGCGCGTTGTAGTTTCCTCGCGAAACTATCTTGGCTTTCGACATGTTCGTATAAGAGCCACAGTCCACCAGGCTTTAAAAGCCTATACAGATGTGCGATGACAGCCCGCTGTTGTGGAACCGTGCACAGGACTTTGATGGTGATGATGCAGTCTATGCTACCCTCGCCTAGTCCTGCTTCCTGCAAAGCTGCGAGGTTCTCCACGCCCGTAGGGATCAGGGTGTACTTATCCATTAGGCCGGCCCGTTTGGCATTGGCGAGCAATTCCTGATGGAAGTCAGGATTCGGCTCTATACCAATAACCCGAGCACATTGTGATGCATTGAGATGACGAAGCATGAGGCCGGTGCCAGGACCAAGATCAAGTACAACACCCGAGACCTCCGAAGTCAGCTTCTTTATGTCGTCAGTCTCGTCCTCGGCGATCTGGCCACCTTTGATTTCCTGTTAGCACTTTCGTATGGGAGGGTAGACATGGCAGAAGGCACCTATAGCATTCCATAACCTACTGAAGGCCTTGTCGCTCCATTTACTGTGATCAAGGACGTCTTTGGGGCGTCTCTGGACGAAGACCAGGTCAAGAATAGTAATGAGATGAACTGGAAGAATGTATCAAAGAAAGTCTCGTACCGGCTGGTGTTCAACCCAGGGACGAGATGGGTGAAACTTACAGACGAGCCCAAGGAAGAGTATGATGAACAAAAGGATGTTCGACTTGAAGCGCATTGGCAAGGACGCCATGAAAGAGGGCATTGTCGCTGAGAGCAAAGTTTGTAGACAATTTGTCATAGATGTTGAACGATTGTGAACAGGAATGATACCGCCGCGGGTTGTTCTCAATGGCAGCGGGCCGATGATTTCGGCCGGTTGCCGTGAGTGCTGCAAGGCCGGAGGACACACCTTGGGAAAGTTCCCACATGAACTTCGTAGAAAACATCACACACGAAATCGAGTTTGTATAGCAAAAAATGTAACCATATGTAGGCAGACAAACGTCATACTGTCCCTCAACGGAACTCACTCAACAAGCAAACCTCCGCCCGCAGCAACACCTTTACTCCTTGGTCGGTAACAACAGTCACCAAGGGGAACTGGTACAGAAAAACCATGTCAACGTCATGCATCACGACGGACGAATGACATTCCATGTGCTCACTCCCTCTAAATCGCCTGTCCATCTGATGTTCACGATCAAAAGGACCGCCGCCTTTCACAAAGTCATAACGGAAAGTTCTCGCTTCGGCTAGAGTCTCCACCTTCAAGCGCGCCGCATGCTCAAAGATGTCGTCGAACTCTTCATGGAACGTTCCCGTATTCACAGGCACAAAGAAGTGCAGGACAGCTTCCCTGATTCTCGAAACCTTAGACAAAAGGGTGGCAGAGACATCGGCGTCCTGGGTTCCCTGAAGAAGAGCAGGAAGGGTCTGACGGCGCCAGGTGCTAGCTGCATCACAGCCATGAGTAAGCTCAATATTCCTGTACACTTGCTCAAAGACGCGGCCCTGCTCAAGGACTATCTCAGGGTGAAATGGCTCGAATACCAAAGTTGATAGAGCACCGGCGAGTAAGGCGGTGACGACAACAGTGTAATACTCTGGGCCTTTATCGACCAATGATGATGAGGTGATATCCTCAGGTAGAATGTCTTTGCAAACTGGCACCAGATCACTGACACTCTCTCTCTTGAACCGTCCATGAAGCGAGCGCGCCAATGAGTGCACCTTGTCGCGCAGACTTTTGAACTCTGAAACATAGTACGAGTCACTGTGCACGACGATTTCTTGCCAGATGAACTGCTCAGGTTCTTTGACTTTGCATAACACAGCTGGAGACGCAAGAGCAGCGAACTTCGTAGCGTTTGAGTTAATAACAGCCGCCGTTTTGTCCGTATCCGCTCCCAGACTAGAATCGGACACGGAGCGCCCAACTGCATTGTGTGGTGAAATCGGCACTACTTCGTACATGACATCCTTGTCGTCCACGGGGCCAAATTTTGTAGATTGTGAGGCATTCGAGACTCGACGTCGGCGATATTTGGTGAGAAGGAAGAACGCAAGAAGACCCAGAAGCAGACCACCAAACAAGCAGCCTACGGCAGCACCAGCGACCATGGAAGCGTCCGAACCATTCTTGCACGAGCCTACAAGCCCAGAGTTAGCATGATAAACACACGCAGCCGAGGAGGTTCGGTGACATTACCGTTTCCCAAAGGTTTCCCAGCAACAAGCTCTCCGGTATCATCATAGCACTGGTTGGTAGGCAATGCCTGGAGGTTGGCTGATCGGAGAAGGTCTTTGAAGGACGGCGGCAGAGACGTAGATGAGGCTCCCGGGGACGAGGTAGCCGCTTCGGTAACTTCGAACGATGTCCTGGATGACAAATCGTCTGTCGCCGTACTAGAAGGAACACTGGTAGTGAACGGAGAACTCTCAACTGAAACCGAGTCGCTGGGTGAGGTACTGGCGGTGGGAGCGGGAGTTTGCACCAACGAAGTCGTGTCCGTAACACTCGCCGTGGGGTCAATTGTCGCTGATGGACTATCGGTGCTGCTGACGGCTGCTTCGGGTGCCGTGGTGACATACGTTGTAGTATTCGGTTCGTACACCGTCACAGTAGTCAAAGCGGTGAAAAACCTAACTGCAGTCCCGCGAGTTTGCCAGTCAAACACGGTAATGCTATAGGTACCTGCGGTGGAGAAGCTGTACACAGATGTTGCGACCGACATGATAGTTTGTCAAGATCACCTGCGGCCGCAGAAGTGGATGAGCGAATGGGGGGACAGAGGGCCATTATATGGTCCACAATCTGAGCAGTTTCTACTTAAACGGAGTATTACGCTCCGCTACCGTGGGCGATTATGGCTGCCTGAGGGGGGGATTTGCGGCAATGATCCGCCGGAAGTGCAAAGCCGTCCTTTAAGAATAGCACTCTGATCGAAGCCTTCGCATACCGCGCACGGCTTATTCCCCTTTGCGGAAAGCTTCCCTTCTCTCTTATTCGCATCCGGACCGCGACCATGGTCCAAAAATAGAGGGTCGTTGTTTTTGTGAGGTTCAAGACGTACAGGATCCCGAACCCCGGACCGACTTCAAGACCTCGAGAGTGCGCGGGAGAAAACCGTCAACCCAACGGCCGATCCTCGTATAGGAAGAATCTTGGAACGCACCATAATGAAAGCGGCAGGATCCTTTGAATGCGCAGCCTCCATATGGCCTGTCGCCTATCGTGGTATAAAAAGCACACTCGTTCCCTGAGGTCCTTGCGACGATTATCAGTGATAAAACCAAGATGTGTTTCGGTTGTAAGAAGTCAAAGTCGTCGCCGAAGTCCACGATCAAGACTGAAAAGGCTTCGAAACTTCGAAGTCCAACGTCTGATCTTTCGCCGAAATCAGGCAGCTCGAAGGGCTCGTTCCGCGAATCTATCGCAGAAGTGCACAAGCCGAAGGCACACTCGCGACCAGAAGTTTTTGTTGCAATTGATCTTGTACGTCATTCCATTGCGTCCCATACTTCTTGATCACTAACAAGCGGACGAATAGGGAACCACCTACTCCGGAGTCGCCGCTTGGCGTAGATCTCCTGCAAATCCCGAGAATCTGCAACCGCTTACAATCACTCGTTGGCCTGGCGATGATAGCTCAGTAGAGCAAAAGGTAAGCACGCAAGTCATTCAAAATGTTACGGCATTGACGTCCTCTGAAGGTACCCACGGTATTGCATTACGACTCGCTGAATAATGTCTGTGCATGGGGATCACAGACGTTGGCGGTGAAAAGAGGCTTAGTTGCTTCGGTTCCAGGATCTGTGGAGTGCAAGTGGTTTAAGCTCCACCTTGACCCAGTTGCAAGTCGCGAGATTGCCGACCTTGACGACTTTCCCCTTCCTCCTGGTTTAACGGCGGTTGATGTCTGCGCCGACTACTTGAGTAAGATCCGTCAAGTGTTATTTCATGCCTTCGAAAACATTGGGTGGACAGCTGCACAGCACGACTTTCACTACATACTCACTCATCCAGCAAGTTGGTCAGATTCTGCTCGTGCGAAGACCAAGGAGGCTTTTGCGGCTGCCCGGTTCGTCCAGCCCAATGAAATTCCTAACGTTATCTTGATGAGTGAACCAGAGGCAGCCGCCAAATACTGCGCACGTACCGATGGATTGACGAAAGAGATTCGGCCTGGAAACGGTCTACTTGTGGTCGATGCCGGCGGCGGTACAGTTGATCTCGTCGCTTACCAAGTGACTAAGTCGGATCCGTTCGTACTGAAAGAGTGCACGGTGCCTACAGGTGGGATTTGTGGTAGCTCTCAACTGGATCGCGACTTCAAAACTCTTCTTGAGGGGAGGCTTTCTCGAATGCGGCCTGGTTCCCAGCGAGTAACAGCCGACAAAGCAGCAATACGAACAACGTGCCTCTTGCGTTTCGAAGAACAAGTGAAGCGAAACTTTGGCTGGAATGGACATGAGCATGCTCACGATATCTACTGCGGTCTCGTCTCGCATGATTATCCTGAAATTGGCTTCGAGAATAACCATATGACGTTCTCAAAGTAAGTTGACTGTTCTGACGAGACGAGCATCAATTCTAACAACTCCTTAGTGACGAGATGACAACCATCTTTACACGCACAATGGAAGATATCCTTGACCTTATCCGTGCTCAACTTGCTCGAATCAGGACAGCGCGCGTGCCCCTCGAAGCAATCATATTCGTTGGAGGTTTCGCACTCTCACCATACCTTCTCGATTACATTAAGGAACACACTGGTCCCCAATGGAGTTCGCTCATCCGGTCAAGTCCCGGGCGTGAACTTGCTGTCGTTCACGGTGCTGCATTGGACTTGGTAGCTCGTCGTGACCCCTCCTACCACGAAGGTGCTCGAGTGGAAGCTAGGCGTACCCGTTGCCATTATGTCATGGAAGTTCACAAGACCTTCGACCCAAGCCAACACCCTAAAGTATTTTCCCTGGACGGCGCCAATGGTGACGCGGTGTGTCGTGGAATTTGCAAGGTTTTGGTGGCCAAAAACACAGAAGTGACCGAGCGGGCTACCGTGACGTACCCTTTCTTCCGTCATGTTACGGCACGGAACTTCCCTGTGTTCAAGACGGCAATATATGCAATTGACTCAGACAAGTGTCCCGAGTTCTTGTATTCCCAAGAAAACCCATCCGAACTGCTTCCAGGCGTGAGGCAACTATGTGTGCTGTCGAGTGATTTCACAGGACTTCCTTTTAGCGAGTTCAAGCGCCTTATTGCGACCAACGGGCAGCCGTACTACGAAGTCAACTATGACATCCGGCTTACCATTGATGGTGTAGAGTTGAAGGCGGAGAGGTATTTCAAAGGGAAGTGTGTCGGCTCTGCGGAGATCAAATGGGATTAATCTGGAGACATATTCTGGAGCGTTTCTGTTCGGGTCAGGTCAGTCAGATAACATTATTCCGTGGCGCGCGTACTACATTACTATATCTATCGTCTCTTTGCTCTGACAATCCACAATGGATCAGTCCATCCCTGCCCATCACTGAGTGTGATCTTCTCAATAGCAACGTACAGCTGGCCCGGTTCAAAGTTCGACTGCGGTCGCTGATCTGTGTCATGGCCGAAGGGCGATCGCGCAAAATGGAAATAGTTCGCTATCATCTCCAGCCTCTCTTCCTCCGAAATACGCAGCCACCTTCCGACTACCTTTGTAGGAAAGCAGCGATTGGAGATTGCCAGATGAACATAGCCGCCCGGTTTGAGGCAACCTGCAACTTCGCTGAGTACCTCACGTGGCTTCTCAAGATAATCAATCGATACAGTGCAAATGATTGAATCAAATTGTGTGCCGCCATACTCGCTTTTCCACCCAGCTGGACGAACGTTGAGATCAATGACCTTATACCGCCCTTGCAGAGCGGGATTCCCCTTGAGCTCAGTCTCGTTCATACCCAGACCGTGTAGCTCAAGACTCTCATACGAGGGAACATGTGAGACCCAACTCGAGCAGATGTCCAGGATGCGCATGCCCTCGGAGTGGACGCTGGCGTAATACCTCTCGAGTACGCCGATGGCGCGATCATCGATGTGTGTCACGAAACGGGGAGAAGAGTAGAAGTTGGAGTCCTGAAGAGCTTTTCAACACAGAATAATAAGGCTCAACAACACGGAGCTCACCGGCGAAGGGTCCATACGACGCATATCCGTCTCCGTGTAAGGCCATTGCGCAGGGAAGGTTGTGAAGGGTACGGCAGCCCATGAATAAGACGCACAGCCGGCAGCAGCACCTCCAGCAGACATTGCAGCTAAATGGGGCTTCAACACTTGATTGATAGCCTTCTTGATCATGAGCTTGGTGAGTCGTTCCCGAAGCCAGTTCTGCGAGAAGACAAGTTCGTCGTTATGGATAACCTTAAATACCGATATCGACGTCATAGACTCGCAGAAGATCGACTTCGAAAGGACAGACGAAAGGCCCTATGAACGGAAGTCGGTACAAAGCCTATGCTCTCTTCATTCTATCTGTAGGTCTGAAGTGGAGGCCACGGCGATTGCTCTTGCTTCTAAAACCCGATATACATATCAACACGGCTGCGGGTGAGGTTGGAAGGTAGTAGAGACAAGAGCGCTTAGATAACTGTCATTTCATTACAACTACAACTGCACTTACTTCTCACAATCTATCGAGAGTCTTTATCACCGAAGACACCGCGGACCTTTCGCTCGTATCCACCTTCAACTGGAAAATGTCAGGTCGAGAGTAATGCCCGACGACATCGAAGTCCATCTTTCCCTCACTAATCTGGTCCATCTCCAAGTCTGCATATAGCGTCTCCTCTTTGTTCCAGCACGGTCCCGCCACGAACTGCCCGAGGGGACTGACAATGCATGAGCCTCCGGCGGAAACGACGTAGTCTGGACTGATGTCGTCTTTGCCAGCAAACGGTGGATAATCTTCAGGGTAGTCTTTGCGAGTCGAGAACTGGTTGACGGAGATAGTAAAACAACGACCTTCTTGAGCGATGGTCTGGATCAAGGGAGGCCAGGTCTCTCTTCCGTCCTTCAAGGGTATCAGCGACTGCCTAACTCTCATGGATCAGGAGCACTTACCGCAGTCGGTGCGAGATAAATCTCGATATTTCTCTGGTACATGGCCATTCTCATTGACGGCATGAAGTTCTCCCAGCAAATCACGCTCCCAATCTTCCCGAGCTCCGTCTGGGCAACGTGTAATCCACTACCATCCCCAAAGCCCCATACGAGACGCTCGCTACCCGTGGGCATGAGCTTGCGATGCTTGTACACCAATTCACCCGAGGGACTAATCAGGACAGCGCAACAATAGATCGTGCCACCGTCCCGCTCAATGATCCCCACCTGGAGAAAGACCTTGTTGGTAGCGGCAGCGGCACACAGCCTATCAAACGCGGGCGACGGGATGGTGACACTGGAATCGATATATTTGCGGAACCATTTTCGGCCTTCAGGTGTACTATAGACAGATCAGCCTAGGCCTTTGAAGCCAAGCCTCCTCTGCACTTACCGATTGCCGACAACAGCGCCGAAGTCATAGAGCTTTGGATAGGCACAGACAAAAGCTTCTGGAAAGACGACAAGCTGTGCACCCTTCCCAGCAGCTTCGGCGGTCAAGCGATCTAGCTTATCGAGGGTCGCATCCAGATCAAATGCGACAGGAGCCGACTGCACTGCGGCGACCTTGACAACTGTTGACGGCGAGGTCATGCTGATGCGCTGGAGTGGGAATATGAAGGCGCTAGAATCAACAGGTCACCTCATTCTTATCCATTCTGTAATGCGGGGCCCATACCTGATCCACGGTGCGGTATCTAGAGTGGGGCGCGGCTGCGGGGAGACGAGTGGGGGAGACGCGCCGGCGAACCGAACAGTGCAATTGCAAGTCGACCCAGTCAGCCGCGGAGAACAGCTTGTCGGCCGTAGATATGTATCGTGCTCGAGCTCCAAAAAGGCAGTATTACAAGAGTTACCGTGCGAACTCGAACCCAAATTTCTTCTCACCCTATTGTACGTAGCCTGAGCCCTAGGCACCTAGCGGCGCTGGGTCCTTGCCGCTGCGGGGTCCAATCTTGGCTCGTACTTCGGCAGTCAACAGCATTGGTACAATACTTCAACTTTCTCTGAAAATACGTTATCATGGATTCAAACCCATTGAACCCGCCTCCTCCGCCTGAGGGGATCCCAATTCCTGTTGACGATGGGGCCTGTGATCACCTCGTTGGCACAACGATTCCGACCGATGTCACCCTTCCCGCAACCAATGGATCCAAGGTTGACTTAGAAAGCTTGTCCGGGCTTACCATCCTCTTTTGCTATCCGAGGACTGGCGCTCCAGGTGAAGAAATTCCAAAGGAGTGGGATGATATCCCAGGTGCTAGAGGATGTAAGTTGAGAGCCCTGGGACATTGTAGAAGCTGGAGCTTACCGAAAAGCAGGCTCACCGCAAGCATGCGCCTTTGGGGACCTGTACGCGTCCCTTCGCAAATTGGGTGTTCATAATCTCTACGGGTTGAGTACCCAACCTACTGAATACCAGCGTGAAGCCAAAGAGAGGTTGCACCTCCCATACGAGATGCTTTCGGACGAGAACCTTGAATTAATCAAAAGCTTGCAATTGCCGACCTTTGACTTTCAAGACAACACTTTAGTGAAACGAGTCACCTTGGCGATTGTGGACGGAAGAGTTCATAAGGTCTGGTATCCTGTTTTTCCTACAGTTGAAAACGCGGCAAATGTTGAGAAATGGTTGAAAACAAAGCAGCAATATGTTTGAAGTGAGCGTGTGAGCGACGACGTCTTCTTTATTTAGGACAGTCCTGCTATCAAAATTATCCTACTTTAATGTGATGATGCCCGCACCGGCCGTATTCTCTACCAAGAACCCCTGAGTAACCAGTTGTTGCAGATATTCTCCCATCCTACCACTCAAAACGAAGGTCGAGTATAACTGTTGCTCTTCAGATGCGATGAGGCACGACAGATCGAGCATGGCTGGAAGACTCTCTGGCAGGAATTCTCTTGTTTGATAGTAGACATCCTGCAACATGAAGACGACTTCAGGGATGTAGAAGTTTCGTAGCCGCACCAGCTCGTTATATCTTTTTCTGTCCTCCGTGCTCTGCAAAGCTAACGACATCTCTGGGTGAAGCCAGTTGTCCTGGAGCATGTAAAGCACATAATTTGCCAACGCTTGGGTAAGAGTCTCGATCTCCGCTTTCCACTGCGTGAAACCAACAGGATCTGTCCTGCCTAATGATTGATATGGTTTCTTAGCCATGAGCGTCTTCCACTGGTCATAAGTCTCATATGCATTGCAGATAACACCATATGACGCGTACTCAAGACCATCCCTGTCATAAGTATCGTCGTGTCCGCTCAGTTCAATGTTCTGCTCGGAAATTCTCTCATGTAATTCCCTTGCGGCGGTCAAACGCCCCGCCTGCAAAAACCTCCTGAACAGAACATTTCCTTGACGGAGTAGTTCTCCTTTCAGGTTCTCCCTCTTCGCCATCCATTCAAGAGCATGAATCTGTCTCTCATCAACATGCTTGACGGGATCCCGCCAGCCCTTCACAGGGCCAATTGTCGCTTCTCTTGGGAACACCGAGTATTCTGGATCCACCGCAGCGCTCTGCTCAAACACAAGCTGTACCATGCGCTTCAAGGGTCCATCGAATCCGACGTGGTAATAGCGGGCAAGTTCACTTTGGTTCTCTCGTTCAATTTCCATCTCAACTTTGCAGAGGTATGCGGCATACGACTCGATTTGCATGGGCTCGGGGAGTTCCGCGACGTAAAGAGGAAGGATGTCACCTTTGTCGTGAGCTGCCAGCAACTCTACGTAACGAGCAATGGTGTTGTTTGCCCAAATTTCGTCTGTTTGTACACCGATCCTTCGTAAAGTGATAATGACGTGCACGAGCATACGCAGTATTGTCGGAAGCGAAACTTCGGCGTCCTCCTCAGCGGAAACCTTCCGCACCCTTGCTGCCTCCATCTCCCGATTGAACTCCTGCAAGATAAGGTCTACTTGACCAGTGATGAGTGCAGCCTGCATCCTCCTGAATGGGTTGTGCGCTGCTTCTCTGATCTCAATTTGATCACTCTGCGCCAACTTCTCCAATACATGCTGCACTCCCATGTGCGACAAATCCTCGATTTCAAGACCCCCTGTCAACTGAGACCGACCCAGATTTCGAAGATTCGCTTCCACCGCACTCTCGCTTACAGCATTCAAGTAAGCCCACAGTTGATCTTCCCAGGTCTCGCACACATCCAAAACGCTCGTCAGATCACCACACAAGGCACCCCACACGGCCCGTTCCCACTTGTCCAACTTTTCGTTACCCGCTGCAGCGTGACATGCTCTTCTCCAAAGGGCCTTCCTCTTTGTTCCGTTCGCTGCGTCATCTGGCGTAATTCCATCCACCTTAGGGTCATGGTACTCCGTGCATCCCTGCACCGCAGCAGCAAACCAGTGGTTCTTTGTGTCCTCCGCTAGTTCCACCGCAACTTCGAGTTCTCCCGCTCTGATGCATGCGAACAACGCCTGGAATAGCGTCTTCTCGTATTCGGCGTCTTCCTCTTTCAACTCCTTCCCTTGTCTTGCTGGTGCATCCGGGTCGAGCTGGTTGACGAAAGTGTCTTCTGCTGGGGTACCGAACGATGCGCGCACCCTGGATTTGATATGCTGGCGTGTGTGCAACCAGTGGTCCGCACGAGTTTCGATATTTGGGAGTCCGAGGTTGGCATCTCTGGACCAATTTAGAAGAAGAGTAATCTCGGCCAGCTCTTTGTTCACGATATGTAGATTCTCCGTGAGGAGTACATTCGATGAGAAGGCATGCGACGGTTGAGATTGGGGCTGATGCTCTTCTGCTTGCCTCGTTCTCAGCAAGCACAGCAGCCGCAGCAGGTTCCACGTCCGCGCTTCCAAAACCCAGTCATGGAATTCGGATCTGTCTGTTTCTCCCCTTCTCGCATACTCCGTCGCCATGTTCTCAGCCGTTCGACATAACTCCACAAGCAAACCGCGTTTAGGATCCAATGGTTCCCGATCACGTAACCGGTCTGCAACGCTTGCAAACTCATCAAACTCCTCACCAAGGGTAACTGCTACCCGATCATCCATAACGGTATCCTCCATCGCAATTGTCGTTTGTGTTTATGTTCTCACCGTTACGACCTCCAATGCACGCAGGTTCAGGGCGCGAATTAAATTCAACTTAAAGTCCAGTTAATTGTTAAACGCGTGCGTCATAACTGAATGATAACGAGGTCGAAACTCAACACCAGAAGGATCAAACAACAAGAAGACAACTGGACGATGGCTCCTTCGACGCAGCATTACTGGATCGTCTCTATCCCAACGGAGAACAGCAGCAGGGGAGACGTTTTCCAATCCCTCAAATCCCGCATTGCTTCCTCCAATCGCGACTATGCTGAAGTCTCTACCTTTCCAATCCCGGCTTTCAAGATCGGTACCCTTGATTCGCTAGTATCTCAATCAGAGGAACTGGCGAAAATCGATGCGCAATTTGAGGGCACGGTGTTAAAGGTAGTGGACGTGATGAAGGGCGTGTTGCAGGGCGACGACGACAAGGTGAGGGAGCAATGCGTGGTCAATGACAGGCCTGTCGACTCATACCTCACCTCCTTCTCATGGTCAACCACCCGATACCGCACGACACTCTCCATCCCCGAACTCTCTTCCACCCTCACCAAGGAAATGACCTCTCTCGACATCGACCTTCGAACAAAATATTCGCAATATCAACAGGCCAAAGGCAACCTGTTGACAATCCAAAGGAAACAAACCGGAAATTTGAGTACAAGGAGCTTGGAGGGTCTGGTTCACAAGGATGACCTCGTGTTGGAAAGTGAATACATGGAGACCCTGTTGGTTGCCGTGCCAATGTATGCTGTTCCATAACACGTTCATCGAATATTAGACTGACAGAGATAACAGCAATGACCAGAAAGACTGGCTGAAGCAGTACGAGACTCTTGCACCCATGGTCGTTCCACGTTCGTCGTCAAAAGTTGCAGAAGATGACGATTTCGCACTCTACAATGTAACAGTCTTCAAGAAGTATTCGCACCAATTCTCGCAAAAGTGCCGTGAGCATAAATTCGTCCCAAGAGAATACAAGTACGATGAGAACGCCTTGGAAAACAGTCAGAAGGAGCAGAAGCAGCTGGGTGAGCAGGAGAAGAAGCTCTGGGTAAGACACTCTCCACTCAGCCACGGGGAAAGGCCACGTTTGCTCATCTAGTTCTATAGGGAGAAACTCTTCGCCTCGCCCGCACGTCCTATTCTGATGCAGTGACTGCCTGGGCACACCTCAAGGCTCTTCGTACATTCGTCGAGTCCGTCCTCAGATATGGACTTCCACCGGATTTCGTATCTGTCATCATCAAACCATACCACAAGCAAGAGAAGAAGGCAAAGAAGGAGCTGGACTCTGCCTACAGTTATCTGGGTGGTCCGGCATTCAGCGAGAAGAAGTCCAAGAGTAGGAAGGCAGACGATGATGACGCAGCGATCGGCGCTCTGGAGGTGGAATATAGTCCATACGTGTTCTACTCGATGGTTGTCTAAAGAGGAGCGCCATGTTAGAAACTGGGTTTAGGTTGGATCTGAGGCAGTGGAATGACATACTAGTATACCAGATACCATGCATTTCCCCGGGGTTCTCTCACACCCACGTGACTGTACCGATGCGGGAACCCCAATTCTACGTTACATCCCCGCCGAAAAACGACAACACCCAGTAGCGATGTTGATCCGGCGATATGTCCGGTCAATAAACCAGACAGTAACATTTGCCGCATTTACGAAGCGTGCTTTCACCGTTGACCAACGCACGAGATTATCTACATTCTTTGTCCCGCAAAGTGATAAAGTCGCAACTGCGACAAAAGAGGGCAGCGCCCATGCCTTGCTGGTGAAGGCAGGTTTTCTCCGGCAAGCTGCTGCGGGTATTTATCAGCTTCTGCCGCTGGGCTTGAGAGTACAAGACAAGATCGAGCGGTTGGTGGACCGGGCAATGCGCGGAGTTGGTGAGCTGGCGACTTCCTACAATTCATTTCATCCACCCTTAACACTTCTCGTGAGTAGGTGCTTCAAAAGTCGCCCTCGCAAATCTGTCTTCGTCAGAGCTCTGGAAGAAAACCGGTCGATGGGAGAAGGGAGGCGACGAGCTGATCAAAGTTTACGACCGGAAAGATACTGCGTTCTGTCTGGCGCCAACTCATGAAGAGGACATCACCAACCTCGTTGCCAACGAAGTATCCAGCTATCGTCACCTTCCTGTACGGCTCTACCAGATCGGCAGAAAGTTCCGCGACGAAAGGAGACCGCGTTTCGGTTTACTTCGGGGAAGGGAGTTTGTGATGAAGGATCTGTATACGTTCGACGCATCAGAAGCGGATGCACTGAAGACATATGATGAGGTCACACGAGTATATCGGGAGTTGTTTGACAAGATCGGCGTACCATACCTCGTTGCCGAAGCTGACAGCGGTAATATCGGCGGGAGTTTGTCACATGAATATCACTACATGACAAAGATCGGCGAAGACACGGTTCTGAATTGTAAGGGATGCGGCTACACAGCGAATGACGAGCGAGCGGCTACAAAGTTGGGTAGAAGGGATACCTCCTACGAGACCAGGTACGGTCTTTGCAGTGACAACCAACTTGTTGCCGTTCACTACCCGAGCGGTCGGGAAATCAACGCAATCTCTGTACGGAAAACTGTCCCGACGTTCACCGGCATCCTTCTACCAAGCCTGGAAGGCAAGTCCTGGGATTCGAAGCTTAACGTCACCCACCTTTTCGACGAAAACATTGCCAAAGATACGACCGCACCTGCATTGCCTCAAAACGTCGAATGCGAGTCATCGCCATCAGTGGTTCGGGAACTCATTCTGATCAAAGCGGAAGCTTCTGACCCTTGTCCGAAATGCTCCCACGCTCTCGAGTCCCACCGAGCCATCGAGCTTGGCCACACCTTCCATCTCGGCACGAAGTATTCCGCCCCACTGGGTGCCAAGTTTGTTCCGGAAGGCGGTTCAAAAGGCAGCAAGGATATCATTATGGGATGCCACGGCCTTGGTATATCCCGCATGGTAGCCGCCATCGCGGAAGTTACGCATGACTCAAAGGGTCTGTCTTGGCCAGTCGACGTCGCACCATTCAAGTGCGCCGTTATCCCCGGCCCCAAGCACGACGAAGTCGCTGAGAAGGTATATGATGAGCTTACTAAAGTTTTGGGAGAAGACGAAGTCGTTCTTGATGAACGATTGGGCAAGTCCGTGGGGTGGAAGATGAAGGATGCCGATTTGGCTGGATACCCATTCATCGTTGTCGTCAGCAAAGCGTGGGATAAAGAACAAAAGGTCGAGTTTCAGGTGCGGAAGACAGGGGAGAAGCGTTATGTGACATTGGAGGAGCTGGGCGAGGCTTTCAAACAATAGAAACACTGATTTACCCTGAAGTGGGACTGAAGCCAACAACAACGAGATGAAAGAACAGAAGAAGGGTGTCAATGCATTGCATTTTGGGGGTATAAGGTGTTATCCTATCAATTCCTGCGAGGTCTTTTCTGACCATCGTACCAGTTCCTCGTAAATCGTCCATGTAATTGCAGAACTCAATGCCTTTCTCGCCACTCTCAGTCCCATTCCGTCACCAAATACCTTCATTCCATCCTCGACTATCAGCTTTCGCGCCGCCTGCCAAGTATTTCTGTAATCCTGCGGTCTGACCTGCATTCGTGTTCTCAGCACATCGAACGGATTGGTAATGACGGTTGCCGAAACTCCCGCGATGACTCCAGAAGTCATGTTCACCACCGCTTTTGAAGCACTTGCCTCATTGCTACCTGTCGTGTTTATTGGCGTCAGCCAAAGCTTACATTGCTCGTAGAACAAAACGTAGATTCCAGCGTATGGTGCATCCCGAATCGCCGTTGCTCCGAATCCGTAGAAAAATCCCTTCATCCCGTCATTCTTGAGAATATCTTTTGTCGCGTGCATCATACTTGAGTACGAATAGTAATTACTCTCATAACGTACTTTGATGATCGTGATTGGCATCATGATAAATCCAACTGCTGCCCTTGCAAAAGCTCCCGTAGTAAGGTTCGCCGTCTTCGATAACCTCGGCAATGCACTTGCGTTCTTGCCTGATGATTCAGTTGCCGGTGCTATGGGATGTCGTGAGAAGTACTGTCGCATATGATTGAGGGATGCAAAGTACATTGCCGATCCAAGGCCAGTTCGAATGGTGGACGGGAGTGTTCCTCGCCACAACTTGACCACATCAGCGGGTGTTTTGACGACATGATGGAATGTCTCGACTAACGATCCATGAGTTCCTTGTTGCTATTACGAATGATTGTCAGCGACCGACCAGTAAAAGGCTCAGTAGCACACGCACTCTTCTTGTCTTCAGTAGATCCAATGGTTGTAGTGTCGCCGAAGTGATCAATCCGCTCGAGGCTCCAGAGAGAAAATGAGTCAAACCATTACGCTTCTGTTGATTCCCAGAAGACGACATCGACTTTTCATGGTTCGCCTCTCCGCGTTCTTCAGATCACCTCAACCTTCGTACGTAAATGAGAGAAGCAGGGGTTCAGTCTACGTTACACCCCGATTCCCGGATTGAGTGCGCGTATGCGATATGAAGTGAATGATATATGATCCCGTATTCCTGTTCCCTAAAATGCTAATCCTGCAAATACTGAGCGTAATCGTCCGCAGAAGCAAACACAGGCAACTCCTTGAGCTTTCTTCTCTTGGCCTTGCGTTCATCCTTCTTCGCCTTCCTCTTAGCCTCCTCAGCATCGAGCTCCTCCTCTTCCTCTTCTGGTGCATCGAGAACCACGTCCTCGTCGTCCATGAGATCATCCTCATCCTCAACACCGAACTCACGATCATCATCATCGAGGTCCTCAAGGTCTTCAGCCTCAACCTCCTCTGCTTCATCCTCATCCTCATCCTCATCCTCATCCTCATCCAGCATGCCCTCATTACCGAAGGCTTCCCGTCTGGCGAGCTCCTCATCGTCAACCTCCTCATCACTGCCCATAGCATCCTCCAAGTCCTCGAGATCATCGTCATCAAGGTCATCCTCAAGGTCGGAGCCACCCTCAAGTTGAGGGTTGGAGTCAACAAGGGCGTCCCAGACCTCCTCATCGTCCATCTCGCTCTCGACATCACTACCAGCAGCCTTCCTCTTCTTGTCCTTCTTGGAGGTAACACCAGCACGAGCATTCCTCTCTGTGAAGTACTTGTGGAAGAAGATCTCGTCAACCGGCACCTGCTCAACCTTCTTCCTCCAGAAGGCCTCAGAGTTGACAGGTTGCTCAGTCTCAGCAGCAGCCTTGGTAGCCAACACCATACCGCGAGTATCACCACCAGCCAAAGGCTGCATGATGGAGCCACCACGAGCAGCGGGCTTGGCCTTGGCGTTACGGTAGACGAAACGGTCAAGGAAGTGACCAAGGGTGTGGAGAGCCAAGTCGGGCTTGGAGGGCATCTTTCCGCCGGCGAGGAACGCAGAGGCGTACATGCAGACAGTAGGGTGGAAGTGCGTCAAGAGTGGCGAGAACTCCCACAGACAGCTTCCGTCGGCATTGGCGAACTGCGGGTCACGCTTGCGACCATCGTATACGTTCGTAGAAACGACCTCCTTCTTCTCTTCGGTAGACACCACAGCCTTCTCCTCCTCCTCGTCATCCTCATCCGGAGCATCCCTGAACACCTCCTCCTCATCCTCGTCGTTCATCTCAGGGTTCCTGAGCATTCCTCTGACCGTCGGCATTGCGATCTCCAATTCACTCAACAAGTAAAGCATACCGCAGATGAAACTTGGCTGGTGCAAAGAAGTAGTCTGAACCATCCTCTTCACGAACGCCTTGACTCGTGGGACATTGCCGTCCGCCTTGAGCGCCTTGAAGAGCAAGTTCAAGTACATGGCCTGCTTGGAGGAAGTAATCAAACGGTGATCCAAGAGCGATTCGTACAACGTCCTGTAGAAACGGTCGGAAACGAGCTGCTTGGAGCTGATGACCTGGAAAATGAGCAACAAAGCCTGAATAGAAGTGTTGAAGTTTCCAGTGTGGGTAATCCTGAACAAAGTGTCCAAGTGCTTCTCAAACACATCGTCAGCCACCTTGGAGAAGGGGAACGCACGGTTAACACCGGTCAAGACTGCGGAGATCATCTTGGCGTTGGTCTCCTCCGCCTGCAACATAGCCTTCTCCTCCTCGTCGAGCTTCTTCTGCGCCTTCTTGGACAGCTTCTCACCCTTCTTCGCCGCTGGCTTCTGGACAGGCTTGGATGTTTGCAAAAGCTTGGTGAAGAAAGCAAAGTAAACGTCGATCAAGCGGTTCGCAACCTCGGTATCCCTAGTGGCAAGGATAGTCTGGTTGAGGGTAATCATAGCATAGTACAACGCATGCTGCGGTACACTCGGCTTGAAAACAAGCTGCTCGATCTCCCTGATGACAATCGACTTCATGAAAGGATGACTCTGCTCCAACTGAAGAACGTTGTACGAGGTCTTCGACGCAACCTTCCTGTCGGTGTCACCAAGCTTGTTCACCAACAACCTCAACAAGTTCTGCTCCTGTTCGGGTTTGTCGCGAAGAAGCTCAAATAGGTAGGTGACCATGTGGTTACGTGCGAACGGAAGCTGATCCATGCTGAGCTGCTCCATCACCTGCAAAAGGTCGAAATACCACCTCTTCAAGTAGTCCTCGAAAGCCCAGACGACGAGGTGACGGTCAGTCATGCCTTCGGCACCCAACTCGGGCTGCTGCTTGAAGAATCTCAATTTCCTGTCTGGCAACACGGTTCCAGTCAACAAATCCTTCAATGCACCAACGGACTGCACAGCTTCGTTTCTACTCCTCTTCCTGGACATACCCAACAAAGTGTCGAGAGTGCGAGTAGCATGCAGAGGGGACTCCTGAATAACCAAAGTCAAAGCAGAAACCTTGTCGTTCAACGTACCGCTCTTCATGACGGTAGCCAAGAACTGTCTGTCGGAGCTTGACTTGTTAGCACTGTTGGAGTATGTCTCGTTCTCGGTCTGCAACAAGCCCTTGGCCTTTTCGTAGAGAGTGTCGAGGGTGCGTTGAGGGAGACTCTGGGTTGGTGGAGTCAGGATGGGCAGGGGGTATGTATGCCACTCTGGCTGAGGCTGGAACAATGCCTTTCCAAACTTTCCAGTCTGCAACACTTGATCCGTAGGCATGATGACCTCCTCCTCCTCCTCCATACCCTCCTCATCCACCCAATCGTCCTCCACGACGATTTCTTTCTCGTACTTTTGCGGCACCTCCTTCTCGTTCGTCGCCAATCCGAGCTCCTTGGAAAACTTGGCCAACTCGGCCAACAAGTTCGCCTCCTGGTTCGCCGATGGCTTCTCCTTCTTCTCTTTTTTCTCCTTTGGCGCGGGGTTTTCATCATCAGACTCATCAACACCATCGAGCAAATCCAAATCTTCCTTGGATCCACCCAACTCTAAGATTTCCCTCAGCAAGATATCCTTCTTCGTCAACGGTCCCTTCCTAACAGGCGCATCACTCTGCTGCTGAATAACACTCTCATGCTTCTCCCTGGGGACAAACTCCTTCTTCTCTGTTTCCTTATCATCCTTGGGCTTTCCATCCCGATCCCTCTTCTGTCCCTTTGCCTCCTTCACCGGAGCGGCAGCCGGAGTGGGAGCGGCATCATCGCCAAACTTGATCTTTGTTCCAGTCTGGGAACGGAGACCCTTTCCCTTGTTTCCCTTGTCCTGAGGAGGCATTGTCGACTTTTGGTGGTGAGGGTCTGTACTCCAACTTTTTTGGATGCAAACCAGGGAGCACACGTGATGATAACGTTTCTGACACGGGAGGAACATGGATCAGGCTCAATTGTATTTCAATCTGGTCGAAACTGCTATCCTACCGTGAATCAGCATCCCCTCATGAGCAACGGCCTTATCGGTGACGCACTGAGCTCACCGCCATCACCGCACGCAAACAAACCTCACCTCCAAAGCTCACCGCCCAAGATATCTGGAGCCCCATCACAATGGACGACGTCTCCCTCCTCGCCCAAAACCCGCACCTAGAATCCCTCTCAACCAACATCCGCGCTCGCCCAATCCCCTGGGACGGCTACCAACGCGCCGGTCTCGTCTCCGAGCACGAAGTAAAATCCATCAAAGCCGTCTCCTCCCAATCGACCACCAAGCGTCAAGGCGTCTTCTCCAAGGAAGGAAAACAATATGCGGAACTCGTGATGGAACTTTTGGGGAAAGCGAAGAGAGCGGATATATTGCAGTATGTGCTCGTGCTTGCGGGGGATTTCATTGTGGAGGTTAAGGGGTGGAGTATGGATTTGTTTTTGTTGAGGGGGGAGAGTGGGGAGTTGCCGTATGGGCCTATTGTGAAGTGTGTCTTTCTGAGTTTTTTATGTGACATTGCAAGGCTAACAAAGACACAAGACAACTCTCGAGCGAGGACGAAGCAATTCGTCTCTTGGCAGCTCGCTTCCTCACCTCTCTCCTATCGCTCGACCCCAACCCACCCAGAGAGGTCGTCGAATCATACCTCACATTCTCCACAACCCACCTCCTCTCCTCCCCATCCCCCGCCCTCCAAGACTTCTGTCTCGCATCCTACACCGCACTCCTCCGACACTCACCCTCCCGCCCCACCTTCTGGTCCAACACCTCCGTAATGTCCGGCACCATCGACATCCTGAAAAAGAACGAGGGTGGGTTACAGGTTCAGTATTGGGGCTTGGTGTGTCTGTGGTTGTTGAGTTTCGAGGTGGATGTTGCGAGGGGGTTGAATAAGAAGTACGATGTTGTGCCGCTTTTGGCGGATATTGCGAGGACGGCGATTAAGGAGAAGATTGTCAGGATGGTTTTCGCTGTTTTTAGGGTATGTCTGGGATGCTGGGGTCTTTCGACGGCGATGGCTAACGAACATACAGAACCTGGTTAAACTTGCACCATCGCAGACTCTCCCAGCAATGCTCGTCGCTCGACTTCTTCCTCTGACTACATCCCTTTCGCAAAAGAAGTGGTCCGATCCCGAGATCACCGACGACCTCACCTTCCTCAAAGAACAGCTCGAGTCTAACTTTGCTGAACTGACAACCTATGACGAATACGCCTCCGAAATCGAGAGCGGGCATCTCTCGTGGACCCCACCCCACAGATCTACTCAATTCTGGAAACAAAACGCTCGACGCATCTACGAAGAAAACAACGGCGCTCTACTCCGTATCTTGGCACGCACCCTACAGATCGCCACGGAACCAGTAGTGGTAGCCGTCGCGTGTAACGATGTCAAGGAGTTCTTGAGAGAGGTTCCAGACGGAAGAAAGGTGCTACAGGAGCTGGGAACGAAGCATAGGGTGATGGAGTTGATGCAGCATCCCGAGGCGGAGGTTAGATTTGAAGCGTTGGGCGCGACACAGGTGTTTATGAGTCACAGTTGGCGAGATGTTTAGCCAGTTGAAATAGAAGTGATAATGCAAGGATCTGTTTGTTCTTGCAAGGATCTTAGATACGGTGCGATCGGGAAGAGACCCGAGCCCGACAAGACTTATAAACCCCCACGGATTCCCTCCTCTCCTGCTCAGCTCATCCATCACTATCACTATGGCGACCATCGCAACCTTCAAGCTCCCTCCCACCGACAACGAGCCGACTGTATGCTGCCTCCTTTCTCAATCGTCCCGGGATGTATGCTGACAACCGCAACAGCAGACCTACGCTCCCGGCGCCCCGGAACGCGCTGGTCTCTCCAAGGCTCTCAAGGACCTCCGCTCTTCCCTTCCTCTTCCTCAAGTCCCATTGATCATCAACAACGAGCCAATTGTCACTGATGCCAAGGCCGAGCAGCGTATGCCCGGAGAGACCAAGACTGTGTTGTGCGAGTACTCTCAAGCCGATGATTCTCAGGTCAAGAAGGCAATTGAGGGTGCCGTTTCCGCTCAAAAGATGTGGGAGGGAATGGGCTTCCACGACCGTGCTGCCATCTTCTTGAAGGCCGCCGACCTCATCGCTACCAGGTACCGCTACGAAATCATGGCCGCGACCATGCTCGGTCAAGGAAAGAACGCATGGCAAGCAGAGATCGATGCCGCCGCAGAGTTGGTCGATTTTCTCCGCTTCAATTGCGCTTACGCTGAAGAGCTCTACTCCGAGCAACCCCCCAAGAATGCAAAGGGCGTCTGGAACAGAATCGAGTACCGTCCTCTCGAGGGCTTCACCTACGCCATCTCCCCCTTCAACTTCACCGCAATCGCATGCAACCTCTCCTGCCTTCCCGCTCTCCTCGGAAACGTCGTAATCTGGAAACCCTCCCCCCTCGCAACCTACTCCAACTGGATCGTCATGCGCACCCTCCTCGAAGCCGGTCTTCCCGCAGGCGTCATCCAATTCATCCCCGGTGACGCCGAGATGATCACATCACACGCTCTCTCCCATAAAGACTTTGCCTCCCTCCACTTTACCGGCTCCACCACCGTCTTCCGCCACCTCTGGGGCCAGATGGGTGCGAACGTCGCAAAGGGCACATACCGCTCCTACCCCCGCATCGTCGGCGAAACCGGCGGAAAGAACTTTCACCTCGTTCACCCCACCGCAGACGTCCGTGCCGCAGCCATTCAAACCCTGCGTGCCTCCTTCGAATACGCCGGACAGAAATGCTCTGCGTGTTCTCGAGTCTACGTCGCGCAATCCATCTGGGAGGAGTTTAAGGGTCATCTCGTCGAGGGCGCAAAGGGCATCAAAGTCGGTAAGCCCGAAGATTGGGAAACCGTCGTTGGGCCCGTAATCTCACAAGGCGCCTTTGACAGACTAAAGTCGGCGATCGAAGAAGGCAAAACGGACTCTGAACTCGAGCTCATCGCGGGTGGTGAAGCGGATGATTCAGAGGGATACTACGTCCATCCCACGATTTTCCTCTCATCTAACCCCAACCACGCTATCTTCTCCCGGGAGCTGTTTGGGCCAGTTTTGACAGCCTACGTCTATCCTGACGCCGAACTCGAGCGGACTCTACAGTTAATCGACTCTACCTCAGAATACGCCCTCACCGGCGCCATCTTTGCTCAATCCCGTCATGGAATCAAGCAACTAACCGACGCCCTCCGCACCTCAGCGGGAAACTTTTACGTAAACGACAAATGTACGGGTGCGGTAGTCGGGCAACAACCATTCGGTGGAGCGCGTATGTCTGGTACGAACGATAAAGCTGGGTCGAAGGCAGCTTTGGGGAGGTTCGTGAGTGGGAGGGTCGTCAAGGAGAATTTGAGTGGGGTTGCGGAGGAGAAGGTTGGGTATGCTTCTAATTTGGTTGAGTAACAGCAAGAGGGTGTTGAATTGAGTTTTTTTGAATCGAAGTCACCTTCACCACCTGGGCCAGCATTCGCACGGCCCCTGCTGCGCCCCACCGCATGAAATAAAATAAAACGCTGCCCTCGCCGGCTTCCCTTTTTTTTTCTCTACAAAATGTTAGGCCACCATAGAGTCGCGGATTTAACGACGGGTCTCGTACTCAGTGTTATCTCGGCCTCCTTGAGGTTTTCGTGCTCACGGTGCCCTTAGAACAATGCCGACGTACTGCTTCTCCTTAGCATGCTTCGACCTTACCCTGTCGCTCTCTTGAGTGACAATATGGGAAGGAGTGGGGTGGGAGGTGGACGCACGACATGCTATTTATTGAATTGATTTGATGGTCTCACGCGGTTTGATGTTTCTCGTGTCGTACAAATTGTGATCTCTGATTCTCCTGGGTATCACTGTCCTGATCTTAACGCCATCTATGCTCCAACTCGATCGCACCATGCGTTCCCGCTTTCTTCTCATCCGCCCGTTGCTTCAGCTTCAACCCCAATAATCGCGGTTTCGGACATGTCAGTGTCGTCCCATCTGGATTCTCCTTGTAGAACCGTGCGCAGCATTCGTAGAGCTTGTCTATCAGGCCTTCACATTTGTTTTGGTTAAAGCCGTTCTTTTGGATGCAGTTTTGGATTGCGCAGGCGTGACTGTATGTTAATTGTGGTCAGTCTTGGCTGATCAGGTTGTGGTGGATGGGGTATCCGTACGCATGGCATGGTTCGTCGTCCTGTCAGCAGCGTCAGTTTGCGCTCGCAAGGATCCATTCGTCTGGATACCGCTCACGTTCAGTCCCATTGGTAATAGCGATTGAGGAGTCCTCCAACTACGGTTCGTCGACGTCCGTGCACTCGTATTGCAGGGGGGCCGCTCTGACAACACCCAGAGCACCCTTGACAGCGGTCCTCAAAGACAACCTCATAATGAACGTAAAGAAACACCTGATAACTCCATTCATCATTCTCAACCCCCCATGATCTGCACTGTATTTGCTGCACACGCCCTGACGCATACCTCCAACATGCAGCACTCATATACGAGTTCATCCAGCCAGCCTTTGCCCTTGTCGCTTTCCTAACACTCCTATACCATGTCTGAGCAACCCGACGTCAAGCCCGAAGGCCAAACCGAGCACATCTCCATCAAGGTACGCCGCAATTCCCTTTGCCACGGCCCTTTACCGGGGCGTGCGATTGCTACACAGACCGTCCGTCTAGGTTGCTGACGCAATGCACAGGTTGTTGGTGCCGGTAACGATGAGGTGTTCTTCAAGATCAAGCGCTCTACCCCTCTGAAGAAGCTCATGGAGGCTTACTGTGACCGTTCGGGAAAGACTTTCAACACTGTGCGGTTTTTGGTTGATGGTGAGCGTGTCAGACCTGATCAGACTCCTGAGGATATGGAAATGGAGGACGGTGACCAGATTGAGTGTATGATTGAGCAGGTTCGTTCTCTCTGTTGGTAAAGGTACCGGGGCGGGACTAACAAACATAACCAGGTTGGTGGATGCTGAATGGAGGAACGATATGATAACAGATGGAGGGTCCGTATTACGCTTTATGGAACTGGCAGAGATGGCATTGGTTTTGGTTGTTTGTCAGAGTATAATTCCTGTGTTATTGTATCCTGTACCCATAAGGGGTATCTATTCCCATGCTGTTGTATTAGTCCCGCTGTTCTTAGTATCCCACCCGTTATCCGTATAATGAGGCAAGACCGGCTTGCTCTAATTCCTTGTCACTGTAATAGTCCGTATGCAGCTCAGAGTCCGGCATCCTCCATGGTCTGCCTCAACGCCGGCGCAATCTGCTTCCTGCTAGCCTTTGCATTCTTCTGCCTCCATGGCCAAGCACGCTCATCCTCCTCGACAGCGTCAACAACACCCTCCTCGCCCTTCCACTTCTTCAAATCAAACTCCTCGCCATGCTTCTCCTTGAATAACTTTCCGATCTCCGCCCACTTCTCATTCGCAGCATAAACGACAAGCTCACGCCTATGCTTACCGTCGACCTTGAAAGAGGCCATGAGTGCGTACACGTCCAACTTGCGCTCTTGACTCCACTCCTTGATTGCGGACCACCACTTGCCGTCCTTGTTGTGGAGGTCTGTAATCGAAACGACACATGACGAGATACCGAGCGTTGCAGATGTAGATGTTTGCCACTCCTTATAGTCGCGCCTCAAGAGGTCATGCACAGATAAAGATGAGACATCACGCTTTGCGTCATCCACGGCATGATACCACTCGTCAATGGAGTCCGTCATACCCTTCGTCTGGAAACCCTTCTCCACGCCCAGAATCGATCGCAGGAAAGCGACTGCCTCGACATCGTGTGGAGTAGTCTTGTTGCTTCTCAAGTTGGAGCAGTCGATAAGGATAGGAGTAATCGCAATCTTCGCCAACGTCTTGCCATCCTCGCCAGCAGGCCATGGCAACCCAGGCAGACTGCGGAAGTAGTTCACGACCAAAGTCGTACATGACCCCGTAACGTCGATAACTCGTGGTGATGCACCCTTCGCAAGGCATTCATCGACGTGATGATCAATGATACCAATAACCTTCTCAGCCTGAGCTCCAGCCATGTGGGCGATACGACCGGTAGGCGCATTGTGATCAACCAAAACCCAATTCTCCACGTTCAGCGATACTGGCAGATCATCCAAGCATACAAGGTCATCTGTAGAGACAGATGTATCCTTAAACACATGGAGAAGCTCTGGTTTCAAGGCGAAGTCGGCACGGTCGAAGTTCAGGAGAGGGACGTGCACGGTGGAAGGTGAAGCTTGAGTAGCCAAGTATGCGTACGTGATGGACGCGAGACACGAGTCAAGGTCTGTAAACAGCTAGTTAGTCCCTGTATGCTAGCATACATAAAGGAGCAATTACCTGCGGACTCGTTTCCCGTTACCAAAGCGACCGTGCGATTAGAAACAGGAGCAGGACGAAGCAAAGCATTCTTCGATGCGGAAAGGAAGCTGCTAACGGAAGGCATCTCTCCAGAGTGGTTCATAAAAGACATTAAAGAGTAGTTGAGCAAAGGGTAATCCTCGAGACCAGTCGAGGATAAAGGGGGGTGAAGTGGGTGGGTATGGTATTGTGGGGTGTATGCTGCCAACTCGGTGTTTTATAGACCAAGGACGTCAGGGCACCTGACCTGCGAGCGTACGCGTCACGCCTACCACCCCTGTCATTGCGGACCAGGGAGATGCAGAAACTGCAAGAACAAAGTTTGATATTATCGTGTTTGACCGGTCAGCTTCACCTCATCTGGTTCATGTTACTCATGCCAGCACCCACAGCGGGTTGCTGCGGCCGAGCGAGCCGCGCGCAGCCTGAGCCCGAGCCGAAGCCAAGCCAAGCTTCAAATCGTATAGAGCAAAGGGCCGGTGCTGAGCTGTCCTATACAGGAGGCCAGACATATCGCCTGCTAGCAGAGCATCAACGCGTGTGACAATTGCCAATTGCGTCCCGCAATGTCAAGCGGGAAGGACAGTAAGGCGGATCCACCAGCGGTCAAAGCACCCGCGGCATCGGGATGGGGTGTCGGCGGTTTCCTTTCGAAGGCTTTGGCGAACGTTGAACATCAATTGGATCGAGCTCTGGATAGCACCGCAGCGACGCCTGTACTGAAGAAGGAGCAATCGACACCGTCGCCCGCACCATCAACGGGGAGGATGACCATGCAGGAGAGGTTGGCCATGGCTTTGGCAAGAGGAAAGGCTGTCAGTCCACAGAATGGAGGCATTGGCTCACCGAGGGGCAGCTTGGATGTACAGCGACCGCCGTCGGCAGAGCCACGGAGGAGTACTGACAGTCAGCGCTCACAAACGGCGGAAGTCAAGGTGGAGGCACCGAGTGTGGAAGTGAAGGAGAATGAAACAACGCAGGTATCTGAGCAGAGAGACATCTCGACAAGTGAAGGCGTGAACGTAAACATTGAAGGAGATGAAAGTGCGGCAGACTTGGCAGTTACGACCACCGACATGAACTCCGCCGTCACCCAATCGACAGAACCTTCGTCAACACCCGATCTACCAACATTTATTGCTGCTGCTCTTCCTCTCATGGGAGAAGCTCTATCTGCTGCTCAGTCAGGTGCAGCCACTCCAAATCTCCCATCGCCTTCCTCCCATACCGACAACTTTCACACGCCTCAAGAGTCAGCACCGCAGACACGACCTGCCTCATCTTCTTCCGAACACGAACCGACGGAAAGTCATATGGAGAATGGTGTCGAAGAAAAAGTCAAAGGTCTTCAAGAAGAACCTGCGAACGCAGAGCAAGACTCGGAGATCATTGCGCAGTTACGCGCCGCGTTGGAAGCTTCCGAGGCGAAACGAGAGGAGGAACGACAAACGGCAGCAAAGAGAATCGAGGAGCTTGAATTAAATGCTAGGAGCTCGAGTGATGCACAGAGGGTCGACGTTTCTAGTCAGCTTGCCGAACGGGATGAGCGGATTCAGGCACTGTTGGAAGAAGGAGAGAAGCTATCGAAGAAGGAACTACAGCTCAATACGACTATCAAAGCCCTGCGCAAGAAGGCGATGGACGACGAGAAAGCTCTTACGGACACAAAGAGGAGACAGGAGAAGATTGAGAAGGATCTTGCAGACGTACGGCAGAAATTGAAGGCAAGTCAAGACGTCGAGCGTCTACAAACCGAGCGAATCAAGACATATGCCAAAACCGAGAACGAACTGAACAAAACCCGTGCCGAACGCGACAAATACCGAGATGATGCCGAAAAGCTACGAGCCGAGCTTGGCGAAGCCAGGGCACGTGCCGTTGAAGCAATTCGCAGCGTCCAAACTGCCGCTTTGGAATCTGAACGAGCGGTCAGCACCGGTCTCCGCGCTGAGCTTGAACGGACGAAGAGCGCGGCGGCCAAAGCAGCGGATGACGCGGAAGCAGCCATGTCCGAACTTCGCGCAAAGATGGCTCGGGACGCCGAACGCGCTCGCACGACAGAAGATGAACTTCGAACTGAGATCGTACGACTCGAGCAAAAGCTTGAGGTCATGCGCTCTCGTGCCGAGGAGGCAAGTGCTGCTGCGCTCAACAAGGATACACATGTTGGTTTAATGCGCCAGATCGAGATGCTCCAGACACAACAGTCGGTCGCACGGGAAAACTGGAGAGTTCTGGAAGGCGCAATGCTCAACAAGACTGCGGCGTTGGAGAAGGAGAAGGAAGAATGGGTGAAGAAGGAAGCCGAGCTCCGAAAGAAGCTGAAGGATACGAAGGCCGAAGTGCGGGATCTTGAGGATGAGAGCGACGAGTTGAGGACCAAGGTTGCGCAGCTTGAGAATGATCTGGAGACGATGCAGGAGAGCCAAACGCGACACAGCAACAAGGTACAAGAATTGGAAAATGAACTTCAATCGGCACAAAAGGCAAGGGATGAACAAATAGCTGAGTTGGATAAGCTCAAGAAGGATGCGGAGGCGGATTTGCAATCTCGACTGCAAGAGGACAAGCTCAAATGGGAACAAGAGTATAACTCACCGCCCATGCTCGACCGCATGTTGAGCCCTACCGCACCCATGTCACCGTCTGTGCCACCTATCTCACGACGGGTCACGTCTTCTACCTCAGATCTCATGATAAACCTGCCGAAGTCGCCAAACCCTCAATCATGGCAGCAGTCCTTCCCTCGACGTAACTCGGGCCGCATATACACCCCTGCGCACGAGACGATCCCGGATCACGATTGGGAAGATGACCGCGATGTATCTCCAGAAACTCCGAGGTCGCCGCACGCACGCACTCCACGCGATCAGATGAGTGTGTCAACCAACATTGGTCCCGGACCAAGCGTGTCGATTATGGAACGCATGTCCGCAAACGTGCGGCGTCTTGAGTCTGAGCTTACCGGGCTGCGGGAAGAGATTGCGAATATTTCCTCCGAGCGTGAAGCAGCGAGGCAAGAGTGCGTTCAGCTCTTGAGCGAACTCGAAGAAAAGCGCAGTGTTGCGTCACAATTGGAGGAGACAGCACAGGCGTTACAAACGCTCCAGACGCGATACGACTCGGCGTTGGAGCTACTGGGTGAGAAGGAAGAGTCGTTGCAGGAATTACGTATGGATGTCAAGGAAATCAAGGAGATGTACAAGGAGCAAATCAGTGAACTGGTGGGACAGTTGAACGCGAAACGATAAAAGTGATTCTTGGTTGGGAGTTTGGCGTAATTTGCTGATTTCTGTAAGCATAGCATTTCTTGAATATATCTGGCCTTCCAATTTTTAAAGTTTGATCGGATTCGTATGCGTGATGGCCTTTGTATGAATGAAGCTTGACGTAGTTGTGAGGCAACGGCATTTCACAACTGCGACAGGTGCTGAAATCCTAGCATACACATGATAAGGCCTTTACTGGCGCATACAATCAATCCATCGTCGATATTACGTCGAACACTTGCCTTCGACAGCAGGGTTGTCATCACGCCGCTTTACCGCTCTCAAGCCTGCGGAATACGACCTTTACACATCCGCAGCGACACAATGGCGGCTAACATCGAGAAGTACATGAAGCGATGGGACGATCAGGTTCGCAGCCTTCCGGATCTATCAAATATCCAGCGCGTAAACGTATTCGACTTCGACAACACACTCTTCCAGACACCGTTGCCAAATACACATGACCTTTGGGATGGAGCCACAATAGGCATGATTTTTTCGGATAGTGGCTTTGGCGGAAAAGGAGGATGGTGGCATGACCCACGTATTCTGGCCGCCACTGGAGAAGGGCCAGACGTGGAGGAGAAACGTGCATGGGAGGGACACTGGAATGAAGACGTCGTCGACCGAGCACGAAGCTCCATGGCGGACAAACATGCCTTGACGGTGCTCCTAACAGGTCGAGGACGCAAGCGGTATACGCCGCTCTTATCAAGAATATTGAACTCGAAGCAGCTTGAGTTCGATGTCATCTCGCTAAAGCCGTCTATGCCAGTGGAACAGTTCGAGAATACCCTTGAGTTCAAGAAAGCTTTCTTGGCTGATACACTACGCACATTTCCGAAAACGCAGTCAATAAAGGTTTATGAAGACCGGCCGCATCATGCAACGGCATTCCGCGAGTTCCTCGAGGGGGAAGCAATTGTACAAAACTCGGTAGGGAAGGAGCCACTGGAAGTCGAGGTGATCGATGTTCCACCAACTACGAGGTATTTGCCAAAGGAAAAGGAGATTGAGCTTATTCGGTCTATGGTTAATGACAACAACCGTGAGGCTGCCTCTCCGTGGGACGAACTGCACGTGTGGAAAGGTCGAGTTTTGTTCACCGGCTACCTCCTGACATACGAGGACAAGCAACATCTGCTGAAGCATTTCGCACCGCCGGCAATCCCAGAAGGGGATCCGGGCAGATGGTCCACATATGCCGACCACATCACCATAACTCCCAAACATGCACATCCCAATTGGCTATTGAAGAAATCAGGTGGATTGGGGTATCAATTGGAGTTCGAGACCGTGGCTAGGGGTTTAATCAAAAACCGGGTATTCGCTGTCAGAGTGGAACCCGTCGACGAGAAAGCACCATTCTACACAGTTAACAAGCACGCTCACCTCACAATCGCCGCACGGCGTGATCTCGACGCAAAGCCCTTCGAATCGAACACTATCACACATTGGGAGGAAATCCCACAAGAAGAAAGACTAAGATTCGTTGGAACAGTTGGAGAGAAGGTCTTCTGGAGCGTGAATGAGGGAACGAAACCAACTCATCAGACACACGGTTTCAGGAAGAGATTTGCATTAGAAGTACAGGAGGAACAAGCACTCCGGAAGAAATCGTTTGCAGAAAGAATACAGCAGGAAGGGGAAAGTCCCATACGTCCACGTAATGGAGAGCATGGAGGTGAAAGAGGAGGACAGAGAGGAGGATTTAGAAGAGGACGTGGAGGCCGCGAGGGTGGAAGAGGAGGATCAAGGGGAGGGTTCGGAGGAGGGCCAGTGCGGTTTAGAGGACGGGGTCGTGGTCGTGGTCGTGGGTCTGAAGATGGCGGAGGGCCTGCCGAGAGCTGGACACCTCGGATGCCACCTAAAGATAGACCTCTGACATGATCCAATGATCAACAAGATTACGAATATATGAGTGAAGTTCTAATTGTCCCATTCATTACTATACAAAAAGTGAAATTAACCCGTATTAAAAAACCAAAAACGCCAAACAATAACATACATCCTAGGTTCTTCCTTTTTTATGTGCACACTGCATCTACGCAATCTCCCAACCATCCTCGTCCAAAACAGGCTGCTTCTTCTTCTTCCTATCCTCCTCCTTCCGTCTCCTAGCCTGCTCCAAGATTGTTCTATCATACGCCCTCTGCTCCGGGGTCCTCTCAACCTTGACGCCGAGCGCATTGGCGATCATTCTCCTAGCGACCTGATCCGTCTTCTGTGGCCTAACCTCAGGAGTACCGGGTCGGGATCCGGAGGGGGAGGCAGGGGAGGCGGGGGAGGGGGAGCTGGGAACGACAACCTCGCCACTCTCGTCAAGGAAAGCGAAGGGGTTCTTGTGGATGACAGGCTGGGTAGTGGCGATGGTGGGCATGCGCTTAGCGGGGGAGACATAGCGGCGACCGATGGGGGAGTCGACGGGAGGGGGTTGACGGTCGGGGAGGGGCTCGAGGTAGTAGCGGATACCGCCGGTGAGGGGGCGCTCGGACTCGGGAAGAGCACAGTAAGAAGCGAGGGCCTTGGCAGCTAAATCAAAGGGTTAAGCAATGATAGTGAAGAGCGCGGAGGGGGGGGGTAGACGTACCGATCTCCTCGGAATCGAAGATGAGGACGGCGTGAGTGTCGTTCAACCACTTCACTCGGTAAAAAGCGCCGGAAACGTGCGGACCGACAGCGTCGCGGATGTTACGGCTCTTCGTCTCCTTGTCAAACTCGAACAACTCCAAGTTCTTCGAGGTCGTTCCCTCGATCTTGTCAGGGATGGAAGCCTGTGCCAAGGCATCTGCGAGGGAGTCGACTTCTTCCTTCAACGACATCTTTGATCCCTTCGTTGTCCGTTTTTTTTCAGTTTCGGTCCTTCCAAGTTTTTACGGATAGGCTGCAGGGGCACGTGCTCCGTATATATCCTCCCCGCCCCCGGACATTCCCCAGTTGCAATAACAATCTCGGAATCGTAAGAGACAAGATGTCAGCATCAATTCACAAGGCTGCTATCGAGGGTGATCAGCGTGTTGTTGCGTCGTGCTTGGCTGAGGATCCGCTATCGTTGAACGTCAAGGATGAGGTACGTCCTCTTGGTGTTTGCCTTGTTCGACATGTTTGCTCACTGTTGGGATAGGATGGTGCGTCCGAAAAGTTCTGGCCTGTCTATTTCAATCGATCCTGACAGCGTCGTTTGGTGTGATAGGTCGTACTCCGCTTCACTGGGCATGCTCTCACGGCCATGTCGCGGTGGTCGATATGCTTTTGGAGCAGAAGGACGTGGACTTGAACATTGCAGAGGGAGCAGGATGGTATTTTCAACTCACGAGTGTGCATGGGGATACGTCTAACTTCGCAACCAGGACTCCCTTGATGATTGCGGTGTCGGCGGGACAGGATGAGATTGCGAAGAAGCTCCTCCAAAACCCGGAAGTGGATGTGAACATTCAGAGTCATGGTGGACAAACTGCCTTGTGAGTTCTGACTGATCATGGCGGGCCAACATGGGATGTGTTACTCACGGCTTGTTTAGGCATTACGCAGTATCCAAGAAGCGTCTAGACGTACGTCCACCTTTCCATCGTCCAAATCAGTGGCTAACTGCGAACCTAGCTTGTCCCACTCCTCCTCTCACACGAACCTCCTGCAAATGTCAAGACCAAGGACAAGGCCGGACAAACACCTCTCATCCGTGCCGCGGCCATCGGCTCGGTCTTTCTCATCAACCTGCTCTTAGAGCACAAGGCGCCATTGCAGGCCTCAGACAACCATAATATGACTCCGCTGCATCACGCGTGCGCGGAAGGGCATGGCGAGGCTGCGATTGAGCTGTTGAAGAAGGGTGAGTCGACAATCATGCCGACGAAAGAACACAATACTGACAATGACTACAGGCGCATGGCCAGACAGAACGGACAAGGATGGATGCACGCCGTTGGAGAGTTGCGAGGATCCGAAAGTCCGTGACTGGATCAAGAACGAAGCGAAGAAGGAGGGCCTCAAGCTGTAGCTTTCGGGGGGGGAAAAGGGAGACAGATGACACATCATTTCGCACAAGCTTTTCTCACTATCAATAAATATCTGCTATACCCGGTGGTTTTCTGTTGCCGTCGGATTTTCATGTCGGGCCGGTCGATTGACTTCATTCTGCATCGGGGCTGCTTCGCGGTGCCCAGCCTTCTGCGAGTGCTGCAGAACTGACCACCAGCATTCTGGAGGAACGAGTCAACGGACTGTTCGCGTATACCATCCGTCGTGTATATATCATCGGCTTCTCTTCGACTTTATCACTTCCAACTCTTGGGCTACTCACCCCTCCGACTGCTTGCACGGATTTGTCTTACAGTGCAAGACACCTGAGCACACCGCAACTGCACGCCTTGTATCAGAACTCCAAACACGGGATCGACGCCGGGAAATCATGTCAACAGTACCAGGTCCAACAACAACCTCCGCTCCGCCAATTCCGATAGGCGACCTCGTCCTTCCCCGACCACGGTCTCGTTCGCGTCCTCCACCACCACCACCAATCGATACGCACGACATCAATATACCAACGCCGTCGTCAACTGGGAGTGCGCGTATGCCCATGACGGCTCCCTTACCATCACAGTACCACAATGGGCACAGAGGAGCTTTGGCCGGTCCGGCGAATGCACCACCGTCGGTCAGCACAGTCGAAGACTTGGCACCAGCAGCCAGGGTACCGCATGATAACGGGGCAAGCGGGCATCCGGAGCGATTACCGCAGAAAAAGAGGAAGATGTTAGGGGAGTATATTCTTGGAAAGACGATTGGTGCGGGGAGTATGGGAAAAGTCAAGTTGGCGACCCATCAAGCGACGGGCGAGCAGGTATGCTATTCAAACGAATGACCGGGTGACCCGATGATTGACAAGCATACAGGTCGCTATTAAAATCATCCCTCGAGCAACGGAGACAAGACCGAGAACAAACTACTCCTCATCCTCCGGCATGCCCAAACCAGCACCAGCACCCGCTGACGACGCAAAAGAAGTCCGTACAGTCCGCGAGGCAGCAATGATGACCCTCATCCGACATCCCTTCATCTGCGGCATGAAATCCGTTGAAGCAATGTCGAATCACTACTACATGGTTATGGAATATGTCAATGGAGGACAAATGTTGGATTACATCATCAGTCATGGAAAGCTGAAAGAGAAGCAGGCGAGGAAGTTTGCGAGGCAGATTGGGAGTGCGCTGGATTATTTGCATAAGAACTCTATTGTGCATCGAGGTAGCTAACAGATGATAGTCCTTCGAATACACCGGCTAACTTGTGGGGACAGATTTGAAAATCGAAAACATCCTCATTTCGAAGAACGGAAATATCAAGCTCATCGATTTTGGGCTGTCGAACCTCTACTCGCCAAAGTCACACTTGTCAACATTCTGCGGTTCTCTGTATTTCGCGGCGCCCGAGCTCCTGAATGCCAAAGCATACACTGGTCCGGAAGTCGATGTTTGGAGTTTCGGTATCGTGATGTACGTCTTGGTATGCGGCAAAGTCCCCTTTGACGACCAGAGCATGCCAGCACTACACGCCAAGATTAAGCGCGGTATCGTTGATTACCCCAATTACTTGTCTCCAGAATGCAAGCATCTGCTTTCCCGTATGCTGGTGGTGGATCCATTGAAGAGAGCATCGCTTAGTGAGATCGTCAGTCACCCATGGATGTTGAGGGGTTATGACACACCTATGGAGAATTACCTGCCACCGCGGCAGCCGCTTACGACACAGCAGTTGGATCCAGAGGTTATTAAGGGAATGCATGGGTTTGAATTTGGTGCGGAGGATGAGATTGAGCGGAAGTTGGTGGACGTGTTGGAGAGCGAGGATTACAGGAATGCGTTGAAGGCGTACTATCAAGGTGCCATTCCTTCACCATCACTGGAGAAGAAGAAGTTCTCGTTCGGTGGGTTTCAGCGCAAGTCATCAAACCCGTCGTTATCCAGTCCAGCGGGTTCGCCAACGACGGCTGGGTTCCTGAACTTGTTGGATCCGTCCATGCCGGTCCTGGACCCCGTCAACGCGTTTCACCCTCTGATCTCCATTTACTTCCTCGTCCGCGAACGTCAGCAACGGGTTCAGGCACATGAAGAAGACCGGGCAACAGGCATTCTGCAGTCGCTTGCTGCTGAGATGCCCATACCACAGATTCCTATCCCTGCGGAGGCGCATCCCAATGACATGTCCTACGAGATTGCATCCCCTGTCAAGGCTGCAATTGGCAGGTCAGGAAGTACGAGTACTCCGCGTGCTCGAAGCCGTACCCATGGTGAAGAGGAAGTGGTCAATGCTATGCGCAACGTCACATTGCAACCACCACCTGCACCGAATTTCAGGCCGCCGCCAACAACTACGAACCAGACTTTACTACCACCCAAGGAGAAGAGTGGTGGCTTTGGAAGTGGATTGTTGAGGAGATTGAGTACGAAGCGTGGAGATAAGAGTAAGAGCACGCCGCCCAGTCCTATGGTTGGTGTTGGTTATGACCATCAGGCTCCTCTACCTCCCTTGCCAGTCGAGAATATCGCACCGCCGAGGAAGAGCTTGTCTGGAAGGAGGTCGCGAGACTCGGATGCAGCGCGTGCTGTGACCGAAGACGGATTACTTTCGGTTCCTCAGGCAGGCGCTACTGGGGTACACCGATCCACCTCGATGTCTGGTAATGGAAAGGCTGCACCGCCTGCGCCTCTGTCGGCTCGCGGATTGGAGTTCCGTAGTCCACCGAGCCCCTACAGGGAGGCAAGTTTGTCTGCGGTTCCTGAGAATATGACTGCGAACGGACAGGGAGGACTTCGCACCGTCGGTGCAAGTCGTGCGAAGTCTATGGGGCATGCGCAGCGACCCAGTCCTGGTACTTCGCGGTTGTCGCCGAATACCCCTGGAGATGGTGGGTTGTCGAGGTCGCCGAGCAACGGTGACAATTTCAAGCCGGTGTTCTTGAAGGGATTGTTCTCGGTCAACACGACGAGTACGAAATCCCCTCAAGTCATCCGCGCCGATCTCATTCGCGTGCTTGACCGCTTTGATGTCAAGTACCGCGAGATTAAAGGTGGATTCAACTGCTATCATAGTCCTTCAATCGACCTGTCCAGTGTACAGGATACGAACGGAGGCAGGTCTCGACGACGCCTCTCCAATGGCCATAACCGTGGCGGAAGTTCAATGATGTTCGGTTCTGGAAGTGATGATGAAGAGGCCAGAGGTCCCGGCGGTGAGCTCGTCTTGCATTTCGAGGTTTATGTCGTTAAGGTGCCGTTGTTGGGGTTGTACGGCGTGCAGTTCAAGAAGGTTGCTGGTGATTTCCTGCATTACAAGAGCATGGCTGCGAAGATCCTGGGAGAGCTAAAGCTCTAAATTGATGACGATTGGAACAATATTGATCGGGGAAATGTTCATGAAGAGAGGAAAAAAACATCATCCATCGCTACGGTGGTTTTACGTGTATGTCCGGTATGGGCTTGGTCCGGATTCTTTATATCCTAATTTTTCCACGTTTTGCATACCCAATAGCAGCTACTTGTCTGCTTCCATCCAGCATATAATACACATTTTTCTATTGCAATTGCATGCGCATTGCTCGCCGTCCTTTTCTCGTCGCCATCGGCTGGTCGAGTCAGGTCGTTCTATAACTAGATACGTATTGTAGAGAGTTACGTAGTCATATAGTCTCAATAAACCCGTGCCTCCATTTCCATATTTGATATACGGTGAACGACGTTTCTGGTTTCGGAAGCAGCAAGCGACCACTCGGACTTCAGTCCCACGCTGAAAGGTTGAGCCCTTCGGCTTCAGAAGGTCGATCAAGCTCAAAAATAGTATGAGATTCCCGATGGTATATTACATTTCCGTGTAATATGCTACGCCTATACCCGCTTTTCAGCCTCTATAAATGCCTCAGGAACTTTCCGGTCCCAGCTTTCTCTCAAATGATCTACATGTTCTTCGCCATCTCCCCAAGCGCCTCCTCAACAATCTTCAACCCCTCTTCCAACTCCTTCTCCGTAATAACAAGCGGCGGCACAAACCTAACCGTATTGTTCCCCGCCGTAATAATCAACAACCCCCTCTCCCTCGCCAACCCCACGACCGGCGTGGGATCAATAGCGAGCTGCATCCCCATCAATAATCCACGGCCACGGATGTCAGTGATGAGGGTCGGATATTTCTTCTGGTATGATTCGAGTTTGGATTTGAGGATGGTGGACATGGTGCGGACGTTTGATTGGAGGGAGGGGGACGCGAGGCGGGTGAATACGTGGTGGGCGATACGGCACGCGAAGGGGTTTCCGCCGAAAGTGGTACCGTGGTCTCCGATCTTGACTGCGTCAGCGACTTTGTTGTTGACCATGATTGCGCCAATCGGGATTCCATTCGCCAGTGGTTTGGCCATGGTCAAGATGTCTGGATGACAGTCTTTGGGGAGGATAGTGTGAGCCCAGAGGTCACCGGTTCGTCCGAGACCGCATTGAATTTCGTCGTAGATGAGGACGGCGTTGACTTCGTCGCAGCGTTTGCGGAGTGCGGAGAGGAACTCGACCGAACCGGCGAAGATTCCACCTTCACCTTGGACGGGTTCGACGATGACGCCGCAGGTTTTCTCGGTGATGAGGGTGTTGATTTGTTCAACATTGTTGAACTCTCCGACAGAGAATCCCGGGACCATGGGCGCAAAGGGAGCTTGGTACTTCGGGTTGGGAGTCGCGGACAAAGAACCCATGGTCCTGCCATGGAAGGCGTTCTTGAACGACACGATCCCGATCTTGTCTTCTCCGCCCACGATCTTTCCAACTTTACGGGCAAACTTGATAGCACCCTCATTCGCCTCCGATCCACTGTTCGAAAAGAAGACCTTGGCGGCACCATGCATACCCCCCTGCTCCTTCGTGGTCTCAACCAAAGTCTTCGCAAGCTCACCAGCCCACTTGTTATGGTACAGGTTCGAAACATGGATCAACTCGAGCGCCTGCTCATACGCAATCTTCGCAATCTCCTTATCACCATGTCCCAAAGCATTCACAGCAATACCGGCGGTGAAATCAATGTACTTCCTCCCCTCCATATCCCAAACATAGCATCCCTCACCCTTGGTGAAGACAAGGTTGGGGCGGGCGTAGGTTGTCAAAGCATAGGGTTTGTGCTGCTCGATCAGCTTTGCGGATGCGGAGGTGTCGGAGGGATCGGGGTGGGAGACGGCTTTGGTAGCGAGGGTGCGGGTGCCGGTGCGAGGGGCGATCTGGCGGAAGGCTGCTGCGCTGAAGGAGGCACGGGTGATGGCCCTCATGGAGAAGGCTGTGCTCGTCATTTTTGAGAAGGAAGGAGGTACCAGGTATGAGATGTTGCGGATCAGATCTTCTTGTCGCTCTCGCTGATTACTGTACTCGCTCGATTTTGAGTTTGGGACTTGAGTCAGGGGTGCGGAGTTGAATGCGTCGGACGTAAACAACTTGATAACAAGAACAACCAACCAAAAGGCATTCAAGGAGCAAGCTCGTAGAGACTCTCTGCTACACTCGTTCAGCGTACATCGGCAAGTTCTGCAAACATACCTGCCCATACCGCCAGCTCTCACACCTCCGACGTCTCCTCCTCTTACGCGTCGGCACCGTCCTTTGACGACGAATTACCAGCATATACCCCGCCTACCGACCCTCTTCCTACATTCACATTCATGGCTACTTCGTCATCTCCTATCACCCAGGCTTCGGCCACTCAGTACCGTCCCAATGCAATTGAATCTACAATCGGTTCAGGGAACCTGTTCATGGATTTAAGAGGGGTACAGTTCGAGATCAGCAGGGACGAGCTTATGAGTCTGCCGGAAAGTGTACTCTTGTGCCTTTTCCCGAATGGAATGATGCTTGATGCTGCTCTGCATGGAGCAGCTGAGCAAGGCGAGATGGTACATGTTGACGTGAGTACATTCTGACCCTTTCTGGAATCCATGCACTAAACATGCGCATACAGTTCGACCCAGAGTGTCTACGATATATCTTGGACTTCTTTCACGCAACGGCACAGCAACCTGCGGGATCATCCCTCCTTTCCCTACCATCTCTGCAGGGCAAACCGGCTATCATCGTCCTCCGCGAAGACCTTGACTTTTATGTCATCCCACCAACGTCAGCACCTGTTCCTCAGGAAGAGATGTTCGCTCTCAAGCGTGCATGTGCTGCTCATCTCCTTGAGCAAAATTCGATCTTTGCCGGCCTCAAGATGAAGGCAACCTCTCAGGGTGTCAGCGCTGAGCAGCATCTTATCGACATGCTATGCTCCTCTGGATTCGGACAAGACGACGACTGGGGCCACCGTGCGCTCGAACCCAGAAAGGCGTGTATCTCTTCCGTTGCCCTTGCCGACTTGAAGGACCAGAGCGGTGCAGTGGGTGCTACGCCTGGCGGTATCGTGACGAGCACCGCACAGAAACTTTTGCTGTTCTGGAGAAAGCCTGCGAGGAAGTGTTGGTGGGACGGATTGGAGTTGGAAGGAGTTGAGGGAGTGAAATATGGCAGGGTGAAGGTCTGGATCAGGAGAGTGTGGACATTGGAGTTGAGTGTGTTGGGGGTGAAATAAATGACTCGCGGACCAGATGAGGTGTTGAGCCGCAGTACTTGGAGCGGAAATGAAAGATGCGAACGGGGTGGTTGCACACTGTTGTCATTTGTGGGGTTATTTTGCTATATCATGGGACGGTTGTTCGAGGAAAGGTTTATTGGTCGGGCTTATACTTTTCTAGAGTACTAATGTTTACTTGCATTCTTTTTCACACCTTCATTAATACCGTCTGTCAATGATGTCTACGATACAGGGCCAAATTAAGGTTGGCCCCAACTGCAGTCGTCGTACACTTCACGCAGTAAACACTCTACATGCAGTTTCTCCATCCTCATGTACCATCGCAAGCGACCGAGATCACCTGAAGGCGGGTCTGCCAACCCGTATATCCATTTTGGAACCCCATTACCCCCAGATCCTTCGACCAGGGACGACGGCAGTTACGTTCCTGTCTGGCAACAAGAAGCACGAGATGAGCGAGGAAGGAAGAGGTTTCATGGTGCTTTCACGGGAGGCTTTAGTGCCGGATACTTCAATACAGTCGGATCAAAAGAAGGTATGTCTATCCTTATCCAGGTTCTACATTTGGTCTACATTTGCTGATAGAAACAAACAGGATGGTCGCCGAGCACCTTCAAGAGTTCACGGACGGAGAGAGCCAAGACGACGCAACGCGTAGAAGATTTCATGGATGAGGAAGATTTAGCAGATCTACGCGAGGCGCAAGAGGTTTCCACGAAAGAATCGTTCAGCGGGATTGGCACAGAAGCTGAACTTGCTTCGCGAGACTTGTTCGACGACATCTTTGCGCCCAAGACGCAATCCATCGGGACGAAACTGCTGAAGAAAATGGGTTGGCGTGAAGGTACGGGTATTGGGCCGCGAGTAACGAAGGCAAGGGAGGAAGCTGCGGCGGGGAAGACCTTTGCGCCGAAGAACACCACTCTCATCGCGTTCGACAAGAAGGTTGGAACACAAGGCTTAGGATATGCCGCATCGCCTGGTCTTGTCGTGCCGCCTCCACCACCTCCCGTCAGGGAGACTTCGTCGAAACCTGAAAGGCAAAGTGGCTTTGGAGTCGGTGTACTTAATGAGCTGGATGGGGAAGAAGACGAAGACCCATACACTATCATCCCGAAGACGAGATATGATAGGGTGCTTGGTGGTGAAAAGAAGAAGGCTGCAGTACTCAAAGCCAGTGGAGCTGTGAGTGCTGCTGCAAGACATGCGTTCATCCCAAAGAGCAAGAAGGTATCTACTGCCAACGCAACGTCAAGCCGGAGATGCCATGATTCGCTGCCGCCTCTTCCAGGCTTTGTATTGGTCGACACCCCATTGATGAACGAGAAGATGTTCCCACCACCGTCAATGCCAGAAGGATGGGAACCCAAATCAGTCGTACGAACCGCAAATATGCCTGCACTTCCGCTCTCGACAGCGGCTGCTGGGCAACAATTGTCAGCAAGAGATAGAGGAGCATTGCTCGGTGAAGCCCCTCTTCCCGGCAAGAGTGTCTTCGACTTCCTAACGCCTGAAGCCCGTGCACGTCTGGTCAATGTCACAGGCAAGACTGATCTCCCCCAGGCTATGTCAGAAAAACAAGCGTCAGCACTGCTCTGGACGCCTGGAAATGCTGTCGCAAAACCGTCTGTTGATGCCGAAACAGCAATACAGGCACTGAAAGGCAACTTCATGCCATACGCGGAGGATCTGGCAAAGCAGAGCAGGTACAGAGCATGGCTGGAATGGTGCGCGAAAATGCGTCCGGAAATTCCACCGGATTGTGCGTTACGAGAAATCGATGAATTCACTAGGGTCGCGATTGTCTTCAGGCCTATATCAGGTATGATGGCAAAACGCTTTACGTCGTCTACTTCATCTGCGCTATCAGCAGAGACATTGGAGAACATCGAAGTCTTGCGGCAGGGAGGCCCAGTGGAGAAGAAGGTGGACACCGCGGAGGAAGCAGCTAAGGTTGGCATGTACGGAATGATGACACGGAAAGTGGAAGATTGGTACCCCATGCGTCTGTTGTGCAAGCGTTTTGGTGTCAAGGACCCTCACCCAGGCGGTCCAAGCGCGGTTCCGCCTAAACAGGCGCCAGACCTGGTCGACAAGGCTTCTGTGGATCGACTGTTGATGGATATGCCTCGTCAACAACGGGAAGCTGTTGAGGAAAAGCAACGGAAAGACCAAGCACGAAGGCAAGCTGGAGCTGAGGAGAAGCGGAAAGCTGAGGAAGCCAGGGAACTGCCTTCTGACAGGAATAAGGCACTGGAGGCAGAAAGACCCGCCATCGATGTCTTTGCTAGCATCTTCGGAGATGATGACGACGATGACTGATGTAAAGTAACCGCTCTGCAGCTGGTATATTGAGTGTATCATCCTCCTCCCTTGACGATTACTTTTTCCAGTGTTCAGAGCTCTCATGCTTCTGCCTCCTCTTGCTTCAACGCGCTCTGACCCATACGCATCTTCTCACTCATCACCTCCGTAATCGCACGAAGGTTCGCACTCTTCTGCTGTACCACCTTCTCCAACTCCTTCATATTGGTCTCAATGAAGTTACACTTCTCCTGGTAGAACTTGGTGGCATCCGCGCTGGTCTTCTCGACGTAGTATCCTGTGCCAACGTCGACAATGACAGCATCCGGCTCGGTGAGTTTTCCGGGGACGTACAGAGACGATGTCAGTGGTACGAGGATATCTTTGTCTGCAGATCGGAATGTTAGATCAATACCGAAAGGGCCAGGCCGGAATCCGCGTACTCTCATTCTCAGGCTTGATCCCTGCCTGAATCGCGGCGATACAGTCCTGGAACTTCTGGCGCGCTAAACGTAGTTGTGTAAACGAGTTCGTAAGATGTTCCAGCTCCTCATCGAGTTGTTTCTTGACTTCAGACTGTATGGCGTGTTAGCTTCTGCCTGGCAACGACATCGTGTTACACCCATACCAATTGCTGAAGGCCGAGCTGAGAGAGATCAACTGCGGTCGTGTTAGCGAAGCGCTCGACATCACGCTGAAGCTAACCACATACTTGTTTGCGTCTGAGGTTTTGATGCCATTGCGATGTGCGACGAGTGTAAAGTGCCGTACGTGTATCCAGCTCGAGACCTCGTACGTGGGTGCCTGGCCCGACGTAACGTCCTCGGTGAGTCACGTGTTCCATGGGCGAAACTGGAATTTTATTATCTTATATGATGAAACTAATCAGTTCTTGTCTACCACTGTCAGTTTATTGCGTAAGAAGTAGCACGTCCGGTTTCTCTGGCCGCCAACGCAGACATCTGCCTCGAAACCTCTTGAACCTCAGATCTCCTCGCTCAAATTAACGACATTCACCCTTCCTTATTCAAGCAACTTCAGTCCGTTCGTTTCCATTTTCTTTCTCTTTCTTCGCCATCTTCTTCTCTTGCGCGTACTTGTCCCACTTCCTCATCCTCGAACTGATCATTGACGTCAATAGCAGTCGCACCCTCAAACTCATGCACATTATCCGCAGTGAACCATTGATGACCTTCTCCCATAAGATCATCCCCATCTTCCTCATCGTCGTCTCGAGGATCTGGGTGTAGTGACGCGCAGGCCGAAAGAGCCGCAAAGATGGCATCCACTATCATACATCGTTAGCGGCCTGGCAAGATGACTGGAGCTGTAGGGATCGTACAATGAGATGCGTCTTCCGGGACCACTCTGACCTCAACAAAATCCTCCATCTCGTCCTCTCCGCCCGACAATGAGAGCTGCAAATAGATGCAAGGCGCGTCTCCGCGTTGCAGAGCATGCAACGTTATACTTCTGTATGGTACCTCAACTCCCTTAGGCTCTTCTGCGTTCCAAACTAGCAAGTTATGCGAATTCACGTAAACGCCACCCTTCGACTCATTGACGATAGGCAAAGTGCCCGAAGGATCTTCGACGAGGAATGTGCATGGTGCTTCGTGGTGGTGTAGCACAGGAGGTGCGGATTCGATGTCGAAAGTAGCAGGGGTTTCAGCCTGGTGCTCGGCGACAGGAATGAAACTTGGTAGGGATCGAATGATAGTCAGCGGCATCGTCAGAAATTTCGGGGTCCAGTATCGAGGAAGTACTCGGCACGTGTGTGTGTATACTGCTGTGTGCAAAATTCTTGACGTAACTTTCCCATGTGCGCGCGAATCGCAAACTCCATATGACAAAAAACCCTAAAACAACATAGATAAAGGCCTCGGAGGTCGAGTAAGGGTTCAAACTGATCATACCTATCCTTAGCAATCATGTCGTGCCACCGGTTTTGGGCCACAAGGCCTCCCTCAGTCGCTTCATGCTGAAAAGGTGGTTTCAGGTTTAAGAAAGAAACGGACCCTGGAAGCCACTAGGGATGCAGCTCCGGGTTCCATGAGATAAAGGGAGCTTAGATGAACAAGTTCTACGTGTGGTTTCTTTGATTCTAACAGTTTTTGAGGTTTGTGGGTCCAGAGAGTGTTTTCGTTGCTTTCACGCATGTTCATGCAACATCATGCACCTATGCCGAAACCTTTCTTAATGTCACAACTCTATGAGAGACGGTACTACACGCGTTTCGAGGACATCTATCGATTTCTAAGAGTCTGATCTATCAATGTCTCCCCTGAAATCGCCCTTCCAAGCCTTGTCTACGAAGATGGGGGGGTTCATGAAACTATCCTCGCGCAGATAGGCGGTAAAATGCGCCGCGTCAAGAATTTTGCACACAGCATAGAGGCCTACGGTAGACATAGACATAGACGGTGATAGACTCATTCACAATAACCTTCTGATCCTACGTGTACTCACTCTAGCTTCTACAAGGTACAAGAGACTATTCATGAGCAACGTTGTGCAGCTTTGAGATTTGTCCGACGTCGACCATAACCCGGTATCTGAAGCTAAACCATGGGTGTTATCGTGCCACAGCACCATTTGTTCTTCCCACCGCGAAAAAATCAGGAATTCGTCAATCAACGTAACATCGTCTGCAGCTTAGAAGTGTTAGAGAAATGGACGTTCCCGGTAGGGATATGAAGTTACGTAGCAAGCAGTGCGGAATTCTGCGTACCGTGCACGTACACGTTCCCACGGGCAGAAGCGTCATGTTTCAGGATAGTTCAATGTCTAAACCTTACGGAATCGGTTTGATACAGATCCATACTTTCTTCCTTTGACCCACTGATGGAATTATGGAGCCCGGGAGTCGTGCACCTGCCTATCAGTCGCGAGCGGCACACCGCTTATTCAACCGTAACGTTGTAACACTCATCTGCTGAGGATGACCGGTGTATATCGAAGCACCTGCTAGAGCAACACTCACGAATACGTCAGATAACGTGTGGAAGAATGCATACCTCTATTGCCGTTCTACGTATTCCCAAATACTATCAAATACAAGAAGCTTCACGTGATACAATGCCGAACACACGAAACAAGCTGCACATAACCTCCTCGAGTCAAGCTCTATACCATATGCAAAAAGAGAACGTCAGAGACCCATAACCATCCGTCTTAAGCCTTCCTTGTCCTACTCCGTGTTTGCGGAGTCCGTGTCTCCGACTGTGTGGTCCTCGCCTTCGCATGACCGTTTGATACATGGCCATTGGCAATGAAGCCGTTTGCCGTGGATTTGGTTGGCTTTGGCTTGATGCGGTCGACGTGGGGGATGATACCGCCGATACTCCATATACAGGCAAATTGATCTTGGGTGCCGAGGAGGTGAATGCGGAGGTACTCGAGAAAGACGATGTAGTAGTACACACCGAGGCCGGTGAAGATGTGCCACCATCCGTGGACTATTTCATCCATTAGCATTCATCAAATCGAGCCATAGGAGGAATGCATACGCTCAAGCAAGAAACCCCAAGGGATACCAACGACGTGGCGCCAACTCCTCAACGTCGAGCAAGCTTCATTGTCGATGTTCCACAAAAGGAATCCAAAAAGAAAAGAAGAGATTCCAGTAACAACCATTCTCAACAATTCCTTCCGTGACTTGGCTGGCTTGACCTCCTTATACATTTGCCAAATACTACGGCCCAGAACCGCAACTGACAGCGCGGCATATGCAACTTGGTGGAACATTGGGTCGAGGATGATCAGGTAGACGAAAGTAACGATCGCAGCAATTGCGAAGACTCCTAGGCCGATCAAGACACTGACGGTCTTTGAGGTCTCGTATTCGAATACTGACCAGACTTGAATGCATGTACTGTACACCATCGGTAACTCATCGAGGAGCTGGTACTTGTATAATAGCGACGCATGGAACAGAAAGGAGCCCAGACCGACGAGCATGAAACCCAGTGCCGTGATGATCATTCGTGTTTCATGACCTTGCTTGATGGTGTTCACAATCAGGAAAAGAGCGAGGACCACTGCGCACCACCATCAGCAAACTCCTACGAACACAGGACTAAAAGAGCGCATACTAAACCCAAGATTTGTAGTGGTATTGATAAACTCCGCAATAAACGACGAAATCACATAATTCTCCTCACACCAATCAATGGTCGCGCTCGGCGGGCCCCACCACCCCTCCCTCTCCGCCGTACCATACGCCCAGTTAACGCAAGGCCATGGAGAGCTATACATCTTTGATTCGGACTCAATCGGTTCTCTCCTTGTCGACGTTTGAGGTGTCTATTTTCTGGTGTGGTGTCCATTCGCGCCTCTTGAGCACGCACGATGAGATCACGGCCCATCGTCGCCAGACTTGCCGTGCTTGGCGGGCCTGCTGTAGAGCCGCCATTGCCGAGTCTGAGATAAACTTTAATAAGAAACGCATTTTCTCACGCTCTTGTTAACTAAAAGGAGTCTCCACTGCAGCTGTGAGGAGTACGTCAAGCTGAGATGTTCATCAGGGTCATACGAATGCTTCTACATCCTCCTCCGTCGCTTATTAAAGGCCAGGAATGGGTACCAAGCCTCACTTCCTTTCGTCAGGGGCCCGTGTTATCCAGAGTACCAGGGCGACCGTGCATCGTACCGGAGCTGGTACATAATACGGAACCGCTTGACGTGGAAAATGCGGAGATGCATGAATCGCTAATTCGAAGTCTAATTACCTCGACCAACATGCACATGAGGGTCCTGAGAAGTGTGATAAGCTCCAACCTTTGCGAGGACCTGAACACAAATGTCGAACCGGCCACAATGACTGAAGGTAACGGACCGAGTCACTGTTCACATCCTCTTGCGCCCAACTTTGCGGTTGTATGCTACCACTCACGCGATGCCGAAGCCGTCGCTCGGCCATATTTGCTCACGTCGAGGATGGACCAGCAATTGGTCTGCCGTCTCGCAAACCCATCAACATATAGGGTACTCTCAATTCGGCCAAGGCTGCGCATATTCCCACACATGTCACGCGTGTCCAATCATTTGGACGCGACTCTCGGGCCTCCTCACAGCTTGATCAATAGAGTGGTCAATATCGGGAATTAAAGAAGGGCCTTGCGCCGATTGAAACAGAACGCAAAGTCAAACCTTCTTCTTCATCTGACCTCATCTCTCACAGCTTTCACACGCGAGCTGTCAGTTGCAAATCATTGATGTCGTCAAGCACTCGAAGAGCTGTGAACTCAAAAACGAACTCCTGCAGTCAATCACGGCAGGCCAAACCAGCCTTCAGCCTAAACCGCCCTCAACCGCCGGAAGGCAGCTTCCGTCTTCCACCTTCCAGCCTTCAGCCTTGATCTTCAAGCCCCAGCCTCACCTTCCACTTCGTATCACCGATATCTCAAGCCAGATCCAATACCTTCTCATCCCAACGGGTCAATTACTTCCCCGAACTCCTGCACCGTGAATCATGCATCCTTACGTTCCGCAGGAGGCTGTCGTGATGATGACGATGTTACACACGGCCAAACCCGAGGGACTTCGATGATCTTCCATCAGAGCAAATGAGGAGGTCAACGCGTGGACCTGTAGGTAAACGCACGCATGGGCAGATCCTCGCGGTCACAAAAAGTAGATCCTCGCTGACTGTTTGCCGGACGTAACTTTCCCCGGTTACCGGGTGTTATGTAAGTGGGTGCTGCTCGGAAGGATCGACCCGCGGCAGCTGGAGCGCGCGAATTCCCCGTGGCGCCGTTAGCATGTGCAAGCGTTGTTCGAGGATCATACGATGCGCAACAGTCACCAGAAAAGAGAAGGACCTCGACTCCTTCTCAGCAGATGTTGTGATGTCGACAAATCCACAAAAATATTCGAACGCAGGCATTCTTTTCATCCCACGAGCCGATAATGTCCCGAGGGTCTTCTGTAGCTAGAGGAGAAAAGCTCGGTAGATATCCGACCGACGTACGCTTGCATAATCCTGCGAATTGAGTCATCTGCACCCGTCGCCGATCGCCAAGAATCTCGATGTTCCCGAAATCGGGCAATGCGTGCGTGGCATAACGTAACCCGTCAATGATGCTCGTTGCCCTTTTATCCGGGCGACCATCACCCTCACACGTGGCAGCTTCTGATCCTCGTTGTGAACCGGTGGAGGTGGGTGATCTTCCCTAGCGGGGACAGGGGGTGAGGTGATGGTGGTTCAATTTTCGGCGCGCACGCTTCCTTCCTACATCCAGCGGTGCATCAGACACAGCGGAGAATTCTGAATGCAGGCCTTGTCTTACTAGGAGGACAGCACCCACGCACTCGGTAAATGACAACGGCGATCTGAAAAGGCCAGTTGCGGACTTGAAGAGACGGACTTTGGTCTCGTTCCCGGAAGCCTGTCACCTCCATCCATCTGTCAATTGAGGGGGGTTGAGCACGGGCGCTGTCACATGTCATGGCCGGGCACGTGTGCGCAATTTCGACAAACAAGATCAAGCGAGGTTGGTGTTACATGTTTCTCCCACTTCCTTTGTTTGCCATAGCACAACCGTAGGGTAGAAGCTCCTCCCGCTGTGCGGTTGTCACTTGCTCGCGCCACATTATGCTGCTAGCTGTCCTCGGTGCAAAGCTACATCAACCTAATCGACCCACACTGATTTATCCACGCGGTCAGCTGCGGGAGGATCTTCTGCCCGGGTTTCACCCAACAATCCGTAACAAGTGTTTGATAATCCTCCTATGAGACTGCCGGAGAATTTTTCGGAAATGGGGGTAGGAGAAGGTGGAGGGGAAGTACTGAGTAAGGCGCGCAGAAAGAGCTCGAGCAGCGTAGATAGGCTCCGTCGGTTAGACAATGTCACACAAGCGCCACGAAACGGGAGGGATCGTCCCAAATCGGAGAACGGCCAGGCGCCTGGCGTATTTGCTAGCGGCACCGGCGGGAAGAAGCTTGGGCTCAATCTGTGTGCCACTTCGGGTCTCGTGTGTGCACCCGTAGCGCCGACCCTGCTGCCGCTCGCGATCGATAGGGTGGTCCATACAGCTGCTGTATTCTAGCTGATGGCTGGGTAGATATATCAAGGCAATAACTCGCATCCTGGCTCGCAATTGTAAACCCCGTGTCCCCGACAAGCTCTCTATATTCAGCGTTCGCGCACTCCGCCGGATCAATACACCTTTTGGTGATACACGAAACCCGCAAGCTTACCTTCTCTATTGCGAAACACCAGCCCGTGCGTGCGTCAGACATCTCCGGCCACCATTCGAAATACCCGGCAGAGGCATCCTTGTCGACAGGGGTCCAACGCAATATCGCGAATCGACCGACTGAACGAACAAAGCTCATCTTCCCAAAGAACGGTCCGCGCACGAATCAAGCAGTCCACGAAGAAACAATCAGCAAGTGATCAATTGGATCTGATCACCGTATTTATTATCCGAACCTTAATCGATGCTCAAGAGCCAAATGCCTACTCCGCCGCCACTGATGAGCACGATGCCCATGCAGGTTCCCTACGGTCACGGCCAACACCAACAGAACCGCCGGCCGGTACAGACCTTCCACAACCCTAACATGACGTTCATGGGTTCTCCTCAACAACAATACATGCACCACCACCAGCAGCAGCAGCAACAACAGCCGCGGATCTACGGTGCTTCCTCCAACGGATCACCTCTCCTTGTCCAAGGCAACAACACCCTTGATCTCCCCTTCTCCCTCAAGATCGAGCCTCCAACTCCTGGCTTCCCTCAACAACGAAGCTTCGAAATGGATCAGGGCCAGATGCATCCTCCGGATATGTCAATGAGTCAGAGCTGGTCCTCTCAACCAGAGATGTTTTCCCAGGATTACTATGGGATGTCGCCCGTCAACACCGCGACGTTCAACAGCCGCGCGAGCTCCGTCGGATCGATCGCGATGTCGAGAACAGCCTCGCTTCCGCTTGATCCCAGCTCCGCGCCGACCTCCTTTTACAACCCGCAACCGGCGTCGTATACTACTCCTCCACCTCAATTCGAGGAAGTGTTCCAATCGACACCACATTTCCAGAGCGTGTTCTCGTCGCCCTGTACCCCAGGTGGACGCGTCTACTCCGTCTCCCCCTCCCCCTCCCCAAGCCGCAAGAAGTCGCACAAGGCCCTTGCCGACCAAGAACGCTTAACCCCCAAGCGACCCCTAAACGCCTTCATGCTCTACCGCCGCGACAAACAGCATGCAGTCCCTTCCAAAAATCACCAATCCATCTCCCGCATCATCGGTCAACTCTGGCGTAATGAGACCGCTGCCACCAAAAAGTTCTACACTGACTTGGCGAAGCGGGCGAAAGAGGAGCATGAGCAGATGTACCCCGGGTACAAGTTTGCGCCTAAGAAGAAGAAGGATAAGGTTGTTCGTCGGAAGGTGGCGAAGACTGAGAGTGATGACATGCGTGAGCGAGAGATTGTCGCTGAGCTCTTGACTAAACAGGGCGGCGATGCTGATCCTGAGACTGCTATCTCCATGGCACTCACTGGTGACCTGGGCTCTTTCTCCAAAGCGCACCAGCCTCAGCTTTTGGGCTCTTCCGCTCATCAGCAGTTGTGGACTCTGACTGAGGACAAGAACCCGATGTCACCACCGATGGGTCTTGCGTCTGCTGGCTTGGAATCTGCTGCCCCTATGGGTATTTCTCAAGGAACTAGCCTCAAGAACCGTCGCTTGCAGGTTCTCGCCCCTCCTGTACTCGCCCCGCCTCAGACCTATGCTCCTACTTCCGCTCCCACGCCTGCTTCTACCTCGGCGCCGGTGGTTGACTTGACGATTGACCACTTCCAGGCCTACCGCGAGGGTTCAAGAAGTAGCCCATTCAGTCCTGAGGGTCTCGATATCGATCTGATGGCCTCGCCAGGAAGCTATGCACGCCTGGGTGACGGTCTCTCAAGCACGCTGTCCACGCCGTTCGACGAGACCCCTCTGAACGACGGCTCAATGCCAGACTATTTCGGAGGATACAACCTCGGCGCAACCTCCGGAGAGGGCAGCTCAGCTGGCTTCGGCTGGGACGGAGAAGCTAGTGCTGCCCTCGACGCCTTCTCAGAAGAGCACGGTCTCTTTGAGAACGACAGCGTAAAGACGGAGGACAACGGACTCTATGAATTGATGTAACGGGGTATCGAGCTACAGCAAGGGTGCTTACAGTCACGAGCATACTGGAATGGTTTGGGGACAATGCCTAGGATCAGGAGTTTTTGTGATTTTCCCAATACCGTCTCGGGGACCGTGTATGAGTATATACGGTACCTGGGTTTTACAATCTTAGCTGCATAAGGCCAGGGCACACGGGACCGAGCCGGACAAGCATTCCGTAATTGTTTTATCTTGAAGTTTAGTTTTCCTTTCCTATCATTCACGTCCCTTTCCTATCGTTTTTGGACATTCATGGCCTCGGGTGTGATTGCGGTTAAATCAGCCGGGCCAAATGCATTGCCGGGCAAAGTCGCGCTTCTCCTACGAGCGACGTGACCCGGAGAGATTCATCCCAAAAACACCAACACAATCAGCACCGTTCATTGCTCTGGGCTTAACCCCATCGCTGAAGCTCGATCTCATCTGGTTCAACACCGAGATCGCATGGATCAATCACAGCTGCCGACAACACCCCAGATCCGCTACAACCCCGCCGCTCCTCCTTCGGCTAACCTGCCGAGCATACCGACGGCAAATCAGCAACGCGCTCAACAAACAGATATCTCCCCGGGAGGAGGAGGGTCTCAGCAGTTCGGTTCTGCGGACGAGCGTGACGATGATGATGACGAGGCTACCGCCGAGTGGGGGTTAACGAAGGCTGGCAAGAGGCGGCAGCGCTTGCCTCTTGCGTGTCAGGCCTGTCGGAAGCGCAAGATCAGGTGTAGTGGTGACAAGGGTGGATGCGTTCAATGCGCAAAGCACAACCGACAATGTATCTACGATCCTTTAACGCACTCCCGTGGACGTCCCTCGGGACGGCGCGATGGATTGGATTCGCCGGCGGGAGAAGGTTACAACATGTTTGCGCAAGGAACGCCGCCGAACGTGCCCATGCCGATTCCGACGATGGGCGCGCCTGTTCTGAATCGACAGGCAATGGCGACTCAATCGATGATGTTGCCGCCGCCAAATGTAGTACCGCCATCCGCTTTTACGCCGCAGGACTGGATGGATCTCGAATACCTCGGTGCATCGAAGCTTTATCCGCCGCCGAGGAAAGATATACTATTGCATCTGATTTTGTTATACTTCTCGCGGCTCTATAACCAAACGTATGGATTTCTACACAGACCTACTTTCATGAAGAAGGTGGAGGAAGGACGCGTACCGCCGGCTCTGCTCTACGCACTGTGTGCCGTCGCAGCTAGGTTCTCGGATCATCCAGAAATCGCGAAGCCAGAAATTCTACCGTATGAAAGAGGTGAGGTGTTTGCTATACGCGCACGTGAAATGGCCTTAGCAGATTTCGACAAGAGCAGTATCTGCAACGTACAGGCCATGGTCACGCTGGCACTGCACGACTTCGGTGCAAGAAAAGGAAGCAAGGCATGGATATTTGCAGGTATGGCTATGCGCGTGGCCCACGCTCTGCGTCTCAACCGCGAGCACGACGACTGGCCTATGGGTAACGCACCATCCGGTGGACCGGGATGGATCGAGCGTGAAGTTCGTCGGAAGACATACTGGAGTTGTTTCATCATCGATCGTTTGAATTCGGCTGGTATGGAAAGACCGCATCAACTACAAGAGGTGGACTCAAGAGTCCAGTTACCGGCGGATGAGCGAAGTTTCACCTTTGGCACGGCGGTTCTCACGGAACCATTGGATCGTCGAACGAGTGGAATACCCCTGACACAAGATATGAAGTCGAACCTGGGCGCAACCGCTTACATGATTCGGATCGTCGCGTTCTGGGGTAGGGTAACGACATATGTCAACTCCAGCACCACTCCGAGCTTGTGGTCGAACGTCGCAAACAAGAAGCGCATCGCGCCCTGGTTACCGCAATCAGAGTTCTCGACGTTGGTGGCGGATTTGAAGGGTTGGCATGATGACCTGCCGGCATGGTTGAAGTATACCCCGGAGAACCTGGCTGCGCACGTCAGTATTAATGCTGCGCCGCCGTATGTCTTCATGCATATCGCGTATCATACCGTTTTGTGTACATTGCACCGTTTCTCTGTACCGAGCAATAGCTCACCTGGTGCAAAGGGCGGGCCGAGCGCTGCCTTGGGAACGGGCCCTGCGGTCGCTGCTGGCGAAGAAGCACCTCCGGCTGATTTTGTCGCGTCAAGTGTCGCGGCTTGCTTCTACCACGCAAGACAGATCTCCTTGATCATGACGGACCTGCGCGCTCGTGCGGATGAGTGTCAAATTACGGCACCTTTCGTCGGATTCGCTATCTTTACTGCATCTCTCTTCCACCTCCATAAGGCTTATGCATCTTCACCCGGGACAAGCGCTGAAGCGGTTGAAGAAGCAAAACGCTTCCTTGCACTTGGAGTCGAGGTACTAGATCAGCTTCGGAAATGGTGGGGTCCTTTGGAAGGATTGTTCTTGGCATTGAGCAATCTTGTCAAAGCTCAGACTGCGGGTCCAAGCCCGATGGTGGGAATGCAAGGGTTCGCACCCTCAGTACCTCCTCGGAGTGCTGCTGGACTTGACCTTACGGGTACATCTGCTAGAAACACGCCGGTGTTGCCTGTTGCCTCTAGCAACTCCACTCTGGGCGTCGTTGGGCTGTCCAAGGCCCCAACCCCACAACCTGGTGGAGCACAACAGCAATGGGATCCCACCTCCATGATCCAGATGGCGAGCAACCTGGAAGGTTTCGGATACAGGGAAGGATCCCCTTCAAACGACTTCTCCTTCCTCGACATGATGTTCGCCGAGGGCGCGAATGGTTCCAATTTCGCATCTATGCCCGGGAGTCCAAGGATGGGTGGTCCATTCTCGGCAAACCCCACGAGACCAGGAAGTCCTCGCACTCAACAACAACCAACGATGCAGAACTCGTTCAATATGCCATTCCCTGGTGCCATCGCGGACCCGATGCGAGCGAGTCCGGGTGCTTCGGTAGCCGCTGTTGCTCCAGCAAGTGGTGCGAAGCCGTCGTATACACGTTATGAGTCAACACCGGCCGCTACTCCCGTCCCAGCTGCCGGTAACGGTTCTGCGGAGACCGTTCCGCGCTCCGTGGATGGATTCCTACAACCGCCCTCGCCTCGTCCCACACAAGCAAAGGCATTCACTTGTGCCGGCACCGGCACTGGCACCGCACCCCATTCGCCCGTCCTGACAACAGATGGACTCCAACACCCAACGCCTTCCCATCCGGATGTTCAGACTGGCCCTGGGTTGGCGGACGAGACCTTGGGTAAAGACGCGGATGCCGCAGATCTGTTGGTGTACTTCCAAAAGCAATGTAGTGGAGCAGCAAGTTCTGGTGCAACGCCTGTACCGGCAGCCGTGGAACACGGGGACGCAGTCGCAGCCGGAACGAAGAGGACAGCGGATGGTCAGCCAAAGGCCTCAGACGGTGGGGCGAGCAGAGCGGATATCTCACATTTGCTCGATGCTGGACGGCAGTGAACAGGAGAAGGAGTACGAAAAATGTGTGTACGATTGGCGTTATTGGGTTTTGCTTTTTGCGATGAATTATGGCGTTTGCCTTGGGAATTCTATTCCCGATATAATGATACTGTTTTAGGATTACCTAGGAATACAACTGTGGTCTCTACTCTACAACGTGATTGCTTCCCCTCCTAGTGAATCAACTGTTGGTGCAGTGGTACCGGTTCCTTTGGGTGTCTTTGGCGGCCGTGGCGGTTCAGGCTCGTCGACCACTACGACGTGCAAGCGCTGCGCAAACGCTTTCTCCACCTCCCTCGCAAAATACCTGATCCCCCAAAACTCGCACCGTTGGTGTCCCACAGCCACGACACCCATACCCCTTTTCTGTGCGTCCTCTAACCCAGCCGCTCGTGTTGCTCCCGTAAGACATATCACACCGCTCAACGGCAGTGACTCCGGAATCAACGCTGCGACCCGATCCAGTATCTCTGGCGTGAATGCGTTCAGACTGACGAGTGTATGCACGTGTCGTTCAACGTCCTCCCCCATCCATACAGTCTCGTATCCACCGAATGCTTCAGCGAGCTCCATCGCGTATTCGCTCATCTTCCTCGGCCGCTCCAATCGCCCCACTAGCCCAATCGCCCGCTCCGGATCCCCTTTATGTCCCGTAAGACATACCCGCCCCTCATCCCATACCCCATGTGCATCCGCAAAAGCATTGTTCCACCCCGTCGTATACAACGCATCAAACACGGTATGACTCTGCAGCACTAACGTACCCCGCGGAACACGTCGCCTATGAAGCTGCCATGGTCTGTGGAGGAAAAGGACGCTTGATTGTCGTGGGTCTTCGGTTAGGGCGGTGTAGACGCCTGGTGTTGGTGTGAGTGAGATGATGATGCGGGACACGCGGAGGCGGGTGGGGTCGTATGGGCGTTGTTGGGGGAGACGGGAGAAGAAAGGTGTGTGGAAGATTAGGTCTTGTTCGTGGGGGAGAAGGCGGTGGAAGAGGGTGAGGATGTCTGCGTGGGTTACTGCTGCCGAAGCTTGGGATGTTGCTGACATGGCGAGATGACAAGAACTGGAGGTGTTTGGGTGTGAGGGTGGACCTCCCAAGTCGCTACTGGATGATACGCACCACGTGGGAAGTCGATGATGTCAAGACTCGAAAAGCAGACTTTCAGATTTACGGATGTTTTGATTGCCTTGACACCCCGTTTCAATGCGCATACATCCCACTCGACTCAGTCGCACGCTTCAAGGGACGTCTTGGAGGTTGGGTGCCGCGGGCCAGGCAAGTGAGTCTCCCCCCTGCAGCCGCGACGCTCCGCGAGAACCCGCTCCTCGAGAAGCCGTACATCGCAAAATCAACTGATCAATTGCTCATCATGGTCCCTCTACCCTCCGCTGGCACCCCGTTCGAATCCGCCGCCGCTGCCAAAGCCGAACTCTCTACATTCAAAGCCACCACCTTCACCAGACTCCACACTGACACAGTCACCTCCCTCGCCTGGAACTCCACCGGTACTCGCCTGGCTTCCGGCTCCCGAGACTGCACGATCCGCATCTGGAATCCCGAACGCTCTGATCCGAGAAATACGCCTGATTTGAAGCTGCCACGGGGGAAGGCGGGGGTTGTGCGCAAGATCGTGTGGGATCCTGTACAGAGGAAGGGTGAGGCGGAGAGATTGGCTACTCTGAATAGTGACGCATCAGTGCGGATATGGGATACAAAAACGAAAACGGTCGTGGCGGAGGTGCGGTGTAAGACGTCGCACGACCCTGTTCTTATCGGTCTCGCATGGTCTGCAGATGGGAAGTTCATTTGTGCTGTATCGCGGGTACGCCCCCATCCCCCAATTTACCATTCTTCCTATGGACCGAAACTGACTGATGTCATAATAGGACGACTACATCACCCTCATCGATGCTCAAACATTCACAGTCTTAACCTCCACCCGCGGTCCCTACGGCGCCTCATACGCCTCCTTCCACCCCACACACCCCCTCCTCGCCGTCACAGCAGTCCAAGCAACCCAACTCCACCCCTACGGAAAACTCTCCTTCTACACCTACCTCCCATCCTCCTCCTCCTCCGACCCCTCTACAATAGTGCTAAATGAAGCAATCCAACTAAACGCACACGTAGGCTCCTGCTCCCCTCCGCACTTCTCACCCTCGCCACCCCATAACCTCCTCCTCGGCGGCGCAGACTCTCTTATTTCGTTATACTCGACGCACGAGTTTTACCCCATCCGGACATTCGACTACAACAAGGGAACGGGGTTGGCCGGGGGTGTGAAGGAGACGGGGTGGACGTGGTGTGGGGGTTTCGTGACGAGGTTGGGTGATGATGGGGTTGTCTGGGTTGGAGATTGTGAGACGGGGGAGGAGGTGTGGTCGAGTACGAGTACGAGTGGCGGGGGGCAGCTGGGGTTGAAGTTGACGGGGAGTGAGACTTTGGCGTGGAGTCCGAGGGGGTATGTGTTGGCGCTTACGGTGGAGGGGGGGAAGACGATTGCGTTGTTGGGGCTGGCTGATGCAAAATGAGGATGGCATGTACTGGGTCATTCTTGTCCTACAAGATCTTGAATCGTCAGCTCAAGGAAAGAAGGCGACGATCATGAAGAGGATTCTTGTCGGCATATTCATGCCAGCTAAGAGACTATTCCTGGATCTTACGATACATGTATCAAAATAGAATTCAGAGCCTCTACGGAACACTTCCCAAATCCCGCAGTCACGTGGCACGTATCATCGTTACACCTATCCACATAAGGCACACATATATAACACTCTCCACCCACACACCTCCAATGATCCACTTCCCAGCCCACAAAACATCTCAATCACGATGCTACATCACTAAAGCAACACTGACATCAACACCAACCGGTTCATCCCACCCACAACGTATCATCAGCACGCACCCGTTCTATGCGTCGCTTAACCTCGTCTTACCTACGGAGCTTTATGAATGTGTATGGGATTTGTTACCGAGGATGGAGTATGGGAGTGCGCAGGTGCCGTTGGGGAGGTTCCCATTCCGGTCGAGCTCGAGCGTGAGGCCTGGCATTCGGCTGCCACACAAGCCACCCCCGCGTCCCTAACCTCGAAAAGGCAAAAAACGTACGAAGGGACCAGACCAAAGATTTTCATGAGCTCGTCGTGTCCATTTTGCAGCATTTGTGAGAGCAGCGTGGTGGGTTCTGACTTACGAGATGTCAAGAACGCCTTTGTCTTGCTGTCAACCAGGCACTGTGTTGCTTTCCTCGATATCCAGCCTATGACACTTGGACATACTCTGGTCGTTCCACGGGAGCATTGTAAGGCTGCAGGAATCCATTCTGTGCTGAAACTTACCGTGGATTAGGCATGCGATTAACTGATCTTTCATCGGAATCTGCTGCTGAAGTAGGGCGGGTAATGCCTTTACTTGCACGAACCGTCTGCGCAGCGGTGGGCGAACAAGGAGGAGGCAAAGTCACGGACTTCAACTGCATTCAAAACAACGGTGGGCGAAGAGCCATCTCTATCTACAATTCAACTCATGCTGTTGGTATTCGTTTAGGCCCGTCGGCAGGACAGGTTGTTGACCACGTTCACTTTCATTTGATACCCCGAGGAGATGCGCTTGCGAAATGGAACATGTTCGGTAGTGTCCGATTTCCGAATGATCCTGTTTGGTAGCTAATTTTGAACCAGGTAAGGGTCAGCGAGAAGACATAGATGATGAAGAGGGCGCCGCGCTGGCAGCAAGGGTACGGTCATATATTGCAGAGGATGCAGAAGCACGCTCGGCCAAGCTATAGATCAAGATGGCTGCATTCGGCGAGATTGAATTCAATCTGCTTCCCTAGCCTAACGAAGTCGTGCTTCCATGAATCCCATCGGTGTCGACGTTGAAGGGACCAGAGGCATTTCCCTAATGACAACAGAAGATGCAGCCATGCTACTCGGATAATTCAATTGCAGAATCCATGAAACCTGCCGTATAATAAAGTCCGAATGTTATTCCTGTCCTTTCCTAACAGAAAACGCATTTTCCCAGGCCTCGCATCTTGCCGCGCAAGTCTATGTGGCGTCCTGCAGCAACGACGTCGTACGCTCGTTCTCGCAGAACTTTCCTTACGATCTCATCGTTTTTGATCTCCAACAAACGCAAGTATGTCAAGCGAACAGCCTCCTGCTACGGCGTCGCTGCCGACTCTGACGCCATCTCTCTGCTTTCACATTACATACTTGAAAGGTCCGTTGCCTTTGCCTTAACCCGCCTGCAACGGCCGACTAACCTGGATCTGTTAGATTTCCTGCGCTACTCCAGAGCGTCACTTGACGATACGATTTCCGCACATCTGAACGCTCTGAATAAGTACCCGGCGTTCGACCCGGCCTCGACATCCTCAAGTACTCGCCGCCCACCAAGAATACTCTCCCGTGCAGTCTGCTACGAATTCCTGAATAACACTCTCCTCCCAAAATGGAACGACAGAGATCGCGTCTACGAATACTGCGCAGACTTGGCGAAACAAGCCGAGTTAGAAGAAGCGGCAGCGGGGGCATCACTCGCGCCGACGAACAAACCACGAGCTAGGCTTGATCCCTATGGTGCACGGACATTACCGGTGGAAGAAAGTCAGTTGAGTCGTGTGATCCGATTCGAGAGGAAATCGGATAGTATCGTGAGGGATCGGACGTGGGAGGTGTTGGGTGAGCGGTGTGGATTTTTGTGGGGGAGGAGGTGGGAGGATGAGATGGAGCGGTGGAGGAAGGAGAAGGGAGGTCAGTGATCTCTGATGACGCCTTCGTACGGGTCGTCTTCCATGGTCTACATCGTGTCGGTAATCTGCATCTACGTTGGGTAAGTGTACAATGAGCGTGATTTACGGTGAACGCAGGAATATCATGAGCATGAGCGAATTCAAATTATGACAGTACCCTTATCGCTATCGATGCAAGAATACGAAGAGGTCTCCGCTCCAAATAGCAATGCTTTTTCGCTCCACTCTCTTGAACGGCCATCTTAAATGGCGAGCTCATGAAATGGTGCCATTGCTATCAAAGTGCGCCATCGCTATCAAGCCAGAACGGAGGTATATAAGCCGAGACGATGTGAAGGGTTTCGCGGGTGAGCGCGCCCGTGTCGAGCAAGAACTCGAACTCCTGAAGCGCGAGTTAGCCCAAGGTGGATCCCTAACATGCAACGAGTGTTCATACCTGGTACACCTTCCTGAGCGCATTGTTTACCTCGGCTCTTGTCTGATCAATGTCGAGGACTGTGGTAGACAGTCTTGGTGATAGTTGGATTGGCAATGCAGTAACCACAGACGACACGACAACGAACGAATAGATGTGTGCGGCCTTCATGTTGATGGGCTAGTAACAATTTGGTAATGATTCGATTCTTGTTAAGGCAAGCACAGTCCACAGCGAGGTGCCCTCCTTATGTATCGTTGAACCCGCCTGTTTCCATGAGACGGCTGTATGGATATCCTCATGGTGCGCATTCTGCCCTTGACTGTAGGTTTCCCACCGTGAGTCTTCGCTCGCGGGCCGCACGACCCGCTAAGATGGGATTAAACATTCGGGGCTGAAGCGATATCAAATGATGCGATGATAAGCATTACTGACATGTCTTGTCCTGCATCATTATTGCGTTAGATGGGAAACGCAGGTCGGCGGGAGTCATGGCATCACGATAAGTTGCATGGAGCAGGCTAACGTGAACCTCCAACGTGCAAGACTTTGGCAGTCCGGACTTGTTGGGCGACTGTCCAACCTCGTCATTTCAAAGATGGTCCGCCAATTGAAACTCAACAGACATGTGAATGCCCGGAATGATTCCTGACACGCTCCATGCAATGGCCCGTCGCCACTTCTCCACGCCGTAGTGTAAGAACCCGCAGCCCTCCGAGGGAGTGGTTTCACTGCTCAGCGTCAAGGTTGGGGGACGAGTCCCTTTGTAAGGACCTTGGTGGGGCTGACCTAACAACTTTCACAGACTGGCTTGCAGGCAGGACCAAGCAGCCTCTGGTAAAGGTCGTGCACCGCGGTGCACCCCGTAAGTTTCCCACGCTTGCGAGGAATACAACTCTATAGACATTTCAGCCCATACAGGGGATATACAGCCAGGGCCGTGAATGAAGTACGAAGCATCACAAGGCCGTGTCTCCATACACAATCACAGGATAGGAGCAGACATGAACAGAATATACGCTTGACCAACAAAACATCTTTTTTTCTACCGTAAGTAGATGACCAATTACCCCAGCCAGCAACCAGGGAAAACCAAAAAGACATCCAACTAGCCAAACATCACATCACCTAAAACAGCAACATTTCCTTTACGCAATTCTCCTAGAGGGAGAACATGCTTAGAGCTGGTGGAGCTGCTTCAAGAAAGCCTCACCGGCAGACTTCTGGCCGTGCTCCTCCTTCTGGTTAGCCTGCTTAGCAGTAACGTAAGGGTTGAGACGGAGCATGACAGCGCGGTTCTTAAGAGGGTTCTTCTTCTGAACGTGGGTGCGCTTCTGGTGCTTGGGACCAGCAGGCTTCAAGACAGACTGGATCTCGTCGGAGTTGATGAGACGGGTGATGTCAGGGTTGGAGATCTGGTGGGAGGGGAGGAAGTAGTCCTTCTTCAAGGCGGATCCCTTCTGGTAGGTACCGTAGATGGAGTCCAAGAGCTCGAAAGCGGACTGGGTCCAGATGATGAAGCGACCGAGGTGACCTCCGGGGGCGAGCTGGAGGAGGTTCAAGGTGCGGACGTTGGCGAGCTCAACACCGGGGATGTTGCGGAAAGCCTTAACGAGACCGTTGTCCTCAGAGTAGACAACGAGAGGACCACGACGCTGACGGTGGCGACGGTTCCTGAGCTTACCCTTACCAGCACGGACCTTGCGGGAGTTGGAAACCTTGATGACATCGCGGTAAGCCTTGAGCTCACGGAGGAGAGCAACAGCCTCCTTGGTCTTGGTCAAAGACTGAGCAGCGTCAGCAATGACGAGGGGAACCTCCTGGATCTCCTCGATGCGGTGACCGCGGGCGAGGACCAAAGAAGGAACAGCAGAGGCAGCAACAGCAGAGACGACAGCGAAACGACGCTCGTTCTGGTTGACCTTGACGTGCCACTTGCGCCAAACCTTGGTAGGAGCGAACATACGTCCACCACGGCACATGTTACCGAAAGCGGCCTGACCGGCACGGTGCGTACCACCACCGGAAACACGGGGGATACGAGCGACGGCACGACCGGTACCCCAGGACTCGGCGGAGGTCTGGTGACCGGCCTTGACGGAGACGGCGTAAGGCTGACGCTTGTTCTTAGCGATGGAAGTGTGGACGGCACGAACGATGTCGGGACGGATGGGGGCACGGAACACACCCGGGAGGTTGACGTTACCGGAAACCTCGCCGGTCTGGCTGTAGACGTTGATGGTGGGCCTGGCTGCGGCGGACTGAGAAAGACGATGTTAGTCCATGTTCGAGCACATTAAGAAACAGCAATTCAACGAGAAGACCAGATCAACCGACATCAATCGACAGCGATCAATCTGCTCTATTCAACCGTCGCATTGCCATCTCCATCCACAGATCACACATACCATTGTCGTTATCTGCTGGGGTTAGGTGTGTCAAGCTGTCCTCGGTCTGCGCTGAAATTTCCCAGTACACCGCGAACAAAACGGCGCTAAGCTGGCCCCGAGTCGGATCAAGCCCTAACGACCCAAAGTGGCGAGTGCGGTCCGGGCTGTGGCGGGTGCCGCTGGGTGCGCGCCTCACACGCGACTGGTATACGACATCGTGTGAACAAGCAAAACACCGCGAATAAGAAATGCCTGATCAGACGTCTGCGAGGCCGGACAAACCCGTGAAGAGGGAGGAGGAGACGTGGTATGTCTGTGCGACTTCTTTTTGGGCGAGACCGACTGACATGATCGAAGGGATCATTGCGCAGCTTGTACGACAGACACTGCGCCGAAGGACCCCGATGCACCCTGGATCCAGTGTTCGCCATGTCATTCGTGGTTCCACGTCCAATGCGTCGACCTGAAGGACAAAGATATTACCCGGATCAAGTCATACCACTGCGACAAATGTGCCGAAACGCGTGGCCCAACTACATGTCCGCCTCCCTCTCTACCCATCATCGTTTAAGTTGACTGACAATGGTGCAGACCATCCCCCACCCCGAGAAAGCGGTCGCAGACGCGAAAAGATCGATTACGCCGCCCTCAACATGGGCGACACTTCCGCGGCCCATACACACCAACACGCACACACACCCTATCTCACACGCACCTTTGCGCCCGACCACTTCCCCCGCCTCCACGGTCACGAGTTGACATCTGAATATGCGCACGCGACGGGATTGAAGACGCCGGCTGTGGTACCAGCGGAATGGAACAAAGGACTGAATATGAAGGTGCCGAAGTTGACGGTTCGTCAGGTTGCGGAAAGCGTGGGCGAGGACGTAGCAGTCGAAGTCATGGATGTGCCTACCCAATCGTCTTCGCCGGGGTGGACGTTGGGTTCGTGGGCGGATTACTATGAGACACCTGCGGCGGAGAGGGATCGAGTCCGTAATGTCATCTCTTTGGAAGTCAGTCAATCTGAGCTGGCTAAGGATATCGTGCGACCAAAGTTCGTCAGGGATCTTGACTGGGTGGATATGGTCTGGCCTGCTTCAGCAGGACCAGTCCCAGAGGTTCAGCTGTACTGTCTGATGTCGGTCTCGAACGCCTTTACCGACTTCCACGTCGACTTTGCGGCTTCGTCTGTCTGGTACCACGTCGTACAAGGAACAAAGACCTTTCTCTTCGTCCCACCCACCCCCGCAAACCTCCGGAAATACGAACTCTGGTGCCTCTCCTCCGACCAAAAAAAGACGTGGTACCCAGACACCCTCACCAGCAGTGGCTCCACCCAATGCGTCAAAGTTGAACTCAGACAAGGCGACACGATGTGTATCCCCTCCGGCTGGATCCACGCCGTCTACACCCCAACAGACTCCCTCGTAATCGGCGGCAACTTCCTAACCCCCATTAATATCCCCACCCAGCTCGAACTCGCACGAATCGAAGTCCGTACGAAGGTTCCAAAGAAATTTAGGTTTCCGAAGTTTCAGGAGGTGCTGTGGTTTGCTGTTGAGTATTATTTGAGGGAGAAGCCTGCGTTGGAGGGGAAGGGGTACGAGAGGCTGGGCGTGGGGGTGTTGGCGGAGTATCTTTGGGTTAGGGCTAGGAAGGCGAAGGGGTTCATGGAGGTGAGTGAGAAGGATCAGAAGGGCATTAGGGAGAGTATTCCGGGACGGATACGGGATAAGGCGGAGGGGTTGGCGAGGGAGTTGGGATTATGGGTACACTCCCTTGCACCGGATGAACCGCTACCGGAGTGGTCAACCATCGAAGACGTTGTTGCTCCCACGAAAAAACGCAAATCGGAAACAAAATCACAGGACAAGAAACGCGTCAAGAAAGACGACACAAAATCAGAATCTGAAGAACAAGAAACCTGGATGTTCGATTGTCCAGCGTGTGGAGTCCAAGGCGAGAACCTTGATGATGGTAGCGCGATGATCATGTGCGAGCGGTGCCAGTGCTGGATGCACGTGGATTGCCTTCCGAAGGAGAAAGTGCCAGCAGGCGAAGGGGACGAGTTTGTTTGCAGCAGGTGCGGGGAAGAATGATAATCCGGCGGCACACTAGGGCTACAGCTACTCACTCTTTCTTGTGTTATCGCCTGAGGTGGGGCTGAGTGGAGGGGAAGGATGGCAGAATGTTCCGCGGGTTCGTTCACGAGGCTTGCGTTGCGATCCGGTAGGTCCCGAAGCGCATCGCGGGGATCACGGTTTGCGAGGCTCGAGGGGGGTCGGGGTTTTCCCAGGGACGGCAGGGCATCTCGCGCCCATCTCATCTCGCCGGAGCAGCACATGTCCCACCCCGCGCGCCGCGACCCAGCCAGGCACCGAGGAGCTCTACGGCCAGCGCCCGCCAGCGCACAGAAAAAAGATAGGGACAACTCGGGTAGATCCACGATCCAAACCCTTAGCCGCAACCCACCTCCATTAAATACTACCCTCCCCCACCGTAACTCGCTCAGATCAACCCACCCTCTCTATACCACCCAGCATGTCCAACTACCCTAAGGAGCCCGAATTCGAGCAGGCCAAGGACGAGATCCTTTCCACCCTTGAGAACTCCAAGCTCTTCGAGAAGGAGCCCGAGCTCAAGAAGGTCCTCCCCATCATCTCCATCCCTGAGCGCATCATTCAGTTCCGTGTCGTCTGGGAGGGTGACGATGGCAAGGCCAACGTCAACACTGGTTACCGTGTCCAGTTCAACTCCACCCTCGGTCCTTACAAGGGTGGTCTCCGTTTCCACCCCTCCGTCAACCTTTCCATCTTGAAGTTCTTGGGTTTCGAGCAGATCTTCAAGAACGCCTTGACCGGTCTCCCCATGGGTGGTGGTAAGGGTGGTTGCGACTTCGACCCCAAGGGCAAGTCCGACAACGAGATCCGCCGCTTCTGCCAGGCCTTCATGGCTGAGCTCCAGCGTCACATCGGTCAGGACACTGACGTCCCTGCTGGTGACATCGGTGTCGGTGGTCGCGAGATTGGTTTCATGTTCGGTGCCTACAAGCGCATCAAGAACCAATGGGAGGGTGTCCTTACCGGTAAGGGTCAGACCTGGGGTGGTTCCTTCATCCGCCCTGAGGCCACTGGTTTCGGTCTCGTCTACTACGTTGCTCACATGATCGACTACGCCTCCGAGGGTAAGGAGTCCTTCAAGGGCAAGCGTGTCGCCGTTTCCGGTTCCGGTAACGTCGCCCAGTACGCCGCCCTCAAGGTCATCGAGCTCGGTGGTACCGTTGTCTCCTTCTCCGACTCCAAGGGTGCCCTCGTCGCCACCGGTGAGACCGGCTTCTCCGCTGAGGACATTGCCGCCATCGCTGATGTCAAGCTCGCCCGCAAGGACCTCACCGCCACCTTCGAGACCCGCTCCAACCTCAAGTCTGGCGCCTTCAAGTACGTTGAGGGTGCCCGCCCCTGGACTCTCGTCAAGTGCGACGTTGCCCTTCCTTCCGCTACCCAGAACGAGGTCTCTAAGGAGGAGGCTGAGGCTTTGGTCGACGGTGGCTGCAAGTTCGTCGCTGAGGGTTCCAACATGGGTTGTACCGCCGAGGCCATTGAGGTCTTCGAGGGTCTCCGTGCCAAGACCGAGGGTAAGCAGTGCGTCTGGTACGCCCCTGGTAAGGCTGCCAACGCTGGTGGTGTCGCCGTTTCCGGTCTCGAGATGGCCCAGAACTCTTCCCGTGACAAGTGGTCCTCCGAGGAGGTCGACCGTCGTCTCGCTGAGATCATGAAGAACTGCTTCAACAACTGCTTGCAGACCGCTGAGGCTTACACTGACTTTGTTGGTCTTCCTTCCCTCCAGGCTGGTGCCAACATTGCTGGTTTCGTCAAGGTTGCCAAGGCCATGAAGGACTTGGGTGACTTCTACTAAACTGCTTCCAAAAGGAGATAGAAGCGTCGGGCTTGATGCCGGCTTTTTGAGATGATATATTTTGTACGCTTAGGTGGGTTTGTTATGGGTATTCTTGGGAACGGAGTAAAGTTTTGATACAAAAATTGAGTTATATTTACATGATTTGTCTTGTCTCTTCCACCTTGTTCATTGTTTGTTCTTGTCAGTTCTTGTCGTCTTTTGCCGTCCGCCGGCGTTTCGTGTTGCTTGCTTATCTCACCCCATCTCAACGCTGCGCAGCTGTCGTACCGGACCCGTCGCCAGGCCAAGTCCGGAGCGTTGTGTGTCGATCAGTCCTGCCTCATCCCAGAAACTCAAACTCCCTTCGCCGTTTACGTTACCCGGAGGAACCTTAAGCCGATGAGACATCTGCCCCCAGAAACGGCCAGCGAACCGAAGTCATCCCAGCCTGTCAGCTGAGGGACCTCATCTCGACCCCAGACCCCCACTTACAAAAACGGTTGACTTCGGCGCCACGGGCGAAGGAGCCTATGGACATAGAGCTTCAGCACCCCAGGAAGCAGGCTTGATCCTAGTAAAAGCCACAGCTGGGGCTAAACAGACCAATTGAGGTGCAGGAAGCGAGCAGACCCTTGTAGACGGCTGGCCATTACTTTTGCAGGATGATTATGTCAGATTCTCTATGCTTGATCCGTCTTGTTTACCTACCAATTGATTGTTCACAGGGACCTCTTGAGGTTACAGGCGCGCTCTCCAGCCCCCGCCTTTCACCCCAGATGCAGTGCTGCGCTAAGGTCGCAGCCATCGCCCAAGTGCGTCACAGCCCGCTGAAGTGTTCACCCTTCAAAACCGATCCGATTCCCCGCCCACACAAGCACCGACCCATCTCCAAGTCATTGCAACAGCATACATCCTGAACATGTCCGATCAACCGCAGAGAGATGTCAAGAACCATCTCCTCTTTGAGATCGCTACTGAAGTTGCCAACCGAGGTGAGCAAAAATGCCTCCAACCACGTCGTGTTTTGGACGACAGCTAATTGACCGCGCATACAGTCGGTGGAATCTACTCTGTCATCAAATCCAAAGCCCCAGTAACTACAGCCGAGTATGGAAGCAGATATGTCGCCATTGGTCCCCTAAACCCCCGTTCTGCTGAAGTCGAGGTTGAAGAGATCCCCGTTCCCGCTGGCACTCCTCTCGAGACTACCCTCCGTTCCATGTCTGAGCGGGGTATCCGCTGGTTGTACGGAAGATGGTTGATCGAGGGAGCGCCAAAGGTTTTGTTGTTCGACACTGGATCTGCATATAAGTGGCTCGATGAGTGGAAGGGTGATCTGTGGAGTGTTGCGGGTATTCCTAGTCCTGCGCACGATAGCGAGATGAACGAGACTATCGTGTTCGGTTACGTCGTTGCGTGGTTCTTGGGAGAGGTCAGTTGTTTTCCATCGAAGTTGCAATGTCGACTAATAGCAGTTTACAGTTCGTTCACCACGAGCGGGAAAAGGCCGTCATTGCCCACTTCCACGAATGGCTTGCCGGTGTCGCACTTCCACTCTGCCGTAAGCGTCACATTGATGTTACCACCATCTTCACCACCCACGCCACTCTCCTCGGTCGTTACCTTTGCGCTGGCTCCGTCGACTTCTACAATAACCTCCAATACTTCGACGTCGATCACGAGGCTGGAAAGCGTGGTATCTACCACAGATACTGCGTCGAGCGCGCCGCCACGCACTCTGCTGACGTCTTCACCACCGTCTCTCACATCACCGCTTACGAATCCGAACACCTTCTCAAGCGCAAGCCCGATGGTGTCTTGCCCAACGGTCTTAACGTTGTCAAATTCCAGGCTATGCACGAGTTCCAGAATCTCCACGCTATGGCGAAGACCAAGATCAACGAGTTCGTTCGTGGGCACTTCTACGGACACTACGACTTCGATTTGGAAAAGACTCTGTATTTCTTCACTGCTGGACGTTATGAGTACCGTAATAAGGGTGTGGATATGTTCATCGAGTCCTTGGCCCGTTTGAACGAGAAGATGAAGGAGGCTCAGTCTGATATGACCATCGTTGCTTTCATCATCATGCCTGCCAAGACTCACTCCTACACTGTTGAGTCCCTCAAGGGTCAGGCTGTCATGAAGTCCCTTCAGGACACCGTCGCACAAATCCAGGCATCTATCGGTCAGCGCATGTTCGAACACGCTGCTCGTTACATTGGTGTGCCCGGTACTGAGGTTCCCGATGCCTCCAGCCTCATGACTCCTCAGGAGAAGGTCTTGTTGAAGCGTCGTGTCTTCGCATTGAAGAGAACTACCCTTCCTGCGGTTGTCACTCATAACATGGAGAACGACCAGGACGACCCTATCTTGAACCAGATCAGGAGGTTGCAGTTGTTCAATGACTCCAGCGATCGTGTGAAGATTGTCTTCCACCCTGAGTTCTTGAACTCAAATAATCCCATCTTGCCACTCGACTATGACGATTTCGTCCGCGGATGTCACTTGGGTGTCTTCGCCTCTTACTACGAGCCTTGGGGATACACTCCTGCTGAGTGTACCGTTATGGGTGTTCCTTCCATTACCACTAACCTCTCCGGTTTCGGTTGTTACATGGATGAGCTCCTCGAGCGTCCTCAAGACTCTGGTATTTACATTGTCGACCGCCGCATGAAGTCTGTCGATGAGTCTGTGGATCAGTTGTCTTCTTGCATGTTCGACTACACTAAGAAGACCCGTCGCGAGCGTATCACCCTCCGTAACCGAACGGAACGCTTGTCTCCTTTCTTGGACTGGAAGAAATTGGGTATTGAGTACACCAAGGCTCGTGTCTTGTCCTTGACCCGCGCATACCCTCACGCATTCGACGGCGAGGACGGTGATGCCTTTGACTTGGTTCACCGGACAAAGTTGCCGCCTCCGATGTCTGTTCCAGCTTCGCCTCGCAGTGGTCTCATGACCCCCGGTGACCTCGGATCCATGCAGGAGACTATGCAGGCTCTTAACACGGATGACTACGAGGGCTTCAATATGCCTGGTGCAGAAGATGAGGACGACCACTACCAGCCCTTCGTCCTCCACCTGAAGAAGAAGCCAGAGGGTTCCGAGGGACCTAAGGGAACCGACTACTTTGGTGCCAAGGACATCACCCCCTCGAACGGGGACAGAGCTTAAAGTAGTGAAAGGATCAGGACAACTGTCTTTGACGAGATTGTATGATATGAACGATGAACAACGGTGCAGCATATTTCTTAGACGCAATGCACTTTTTGGTCTTTTGGAAAAGTTTCCCTGTGTTTTTAGCTAGTTTTGATACCATTTTCCTTAATTCATTCTATATGACCAACGTTCTTGGGCTCTTCATGAATCTGCAGTCATGTCAAACCAGATAAATTCTGCTTTCTTGCCGCCTTTCTCTCCCACATTCTGGATGGTGATCTCCATTCCCGGCACTGCCCCGTCGATGTATGCGGTATCTCCTTCCCCAAGCTCGACCTCCCCATTCAGCAGGATCTTAGCACCGTTCTTCACCTCTTCGTTCGGTGGTACATATCCGCTTGATTGTGCGATCTGAATGTGCCCTTTCCTCTTGTTGTTACACTTCCCTCCAAACGAGCCGAAGGTGTGTGTTACAGTTTCTCCGGGTGGAAGGATGCAAGCGTACATTGCCAGATCCTGGTGAATTGGGATCGGCGCGTCTGATTTGGCTGTGTCTGAACCTGCAACGGTTGTCTCGTGTGTTGTGTTCGGTGGAAAAGATGCGTGGGGTAGGACGATGGGCTTTAGGACCGAAGTCTTTGAGGTGGGGGTGTGTGTTCGGGTGTAGTACGTTGGCTTGAGACCAGAGATTGCAGGTTTTGCCCTACACGACCGCCGTTAGAAGGGGCCTGCAGCGAACGGGTAGGAAGGGTAAAACGTACCATATCTGAAGAAGATGACAGTCCTTCTTCTTGTTATCGTTGACCTCAGAATGGCGAATGCCTGTACCGGCACTTGTATCTGTAAGAAAGCGTGAGTTCGGTATTCATCTATAGAGCCGCATTCTCTTACACTGAATGCCACCCGGGCCAATTGTTTCGACATGACCCAGGTTATCCCGGTGTGTCAGCTCGCCCTTCATGAGATACGTCCAGATCTGAAAACGTTGGGCGTCAGCATTGTGAATAGAAACAGTCGGCGTGGGCACTATACCTCGAAGTCGTCATGCTCATGCTCTGGAAACCCTCTACCCTTCGATATCCGGTCCTCATTGATCACCCGCAACGGACCCCACTGTGTATGCTTCTTGTCGGTATACTCCGCAAATGAAAAAGAGTAGTAAGCCTTGATCCAGCCATGGTCGACATGTCCTCTCGCTGCACTGCGTCTTGGGATAATCTTAAGTCGCTGCTGCTTGCCCATCGTGGTGTTTTGGTGGTTGTGCGGAGTACGCCGGTGCCGGTAACGTAGACTTTCCTTTTTCGGATAGGTAAGCGGTTACTAAGCTCGAACGTGGGAATATGGGGAATATATCATTTGGGGTATATCTGGTACTAACAGGTCATAAAGTATTATCAAATCCAACCTCTGGACCTATGTCACACGCAACACTTCTTCATCGCCTCCGTGACCTCGCCATTTCCGTTTTCCTTCCCGTTCTCAAAAGCATACTGACTCTCGCCCTGAGCCTGCAAAGGCCTGATATCCAACGCCGGATTCTGTTTGAAGAAGTTCGTCGGTCGCAACAGGATGCTGACAGGCTCCGTCGGCATGACCGGGAAGTCCTCCGCTCGTGGGAAGTGCGTCAAACCGAAGTTCAACCAGCACACAACATCAGTATTCTCAATGTTCGCCGCCTCCTTGGTCCATGTAATGATATTGAAATTGCCCTCGAGATCGTCCTCCAAACCAGACGTTTGCGGCACATAACGACCAGCGGGATAAAGTTGATCGTCCTTGTAGGGAGTGACCCAAAAGGTATGTCTCGCGAACCCAGCACGATTCCACACAAGACTCCCAGGCTGCGCCAACAAACGCGGAGACTCCCGCGACACGATCTTGTAAGCAACGGGCTTCTTCGCAGTCGGATGCATCTTAGACGGATTCACAATATCCCACGTACGGCTCGTCTCGTGATTATAGTCGCAGGCTGCTTCCGCCGTGGTCTTCAACACAGTCTTCTGGCAGAAGAATGCGTTTCCGTAAGGATTCTCCTCGGATCCAGCAGGGTGAGGAGAAGGCATGGCATCAGACTGCATAACCGAATTGTTCACGCCATCGACCTGTGGGTCGATGCGTAGACAGAAGATATGCTGGTGGTTATGCGCCGTGATACGCTCACCGACCTCAGTACCCCAAGGTGCAGCTTCCTCCGTTGGGTGTAGGCAGTATGTGTTGAGCATACCGGTAAGCTTAAGCTCCACCTGAATCGTACCATCAAGGAAGAAGTTCCAGTAGATGCAGTACTCATAGTTCGCAGCCGTGAAGACCTGGCTAACAACCAACTTTCGGTTCCTTGCCACGACACACTTTCCATCACGGAAATCCGTGTGCTTGAACAGGATCCCGGCATCCTCTTCATGGATACAGATCGCCTGCGGAATGACGACCGCTTCACCACGACGGTTGGAGTACACTCCATCGAGGTAGTGAATCGAGCCCTTACAGTCACACCCAAGCTTAAGCGAGTTCGTCATGGCTCCCATCCCATACTCTCCGACATCAAACGCATGTTTTCTATGATGCGGCGCAGAAGGCTCACCATACGGCACAACCATCTCCGCAATCGACAATCGATAAAACATCGAGCGATCCTTCCCTCCCTCCTGCGGATCCGCATATCGGATATTACTCAACACAATCCCCTCACGCGCATTGAAGCCAATGTGGAACTTGAACCCAGTCCACTCGACTTCGTTTCCGTTCATCTGAAAGGAGACGCCTTCGGGTTGGGTGATGTTGATGGGTTTGAGGTCGGGGCGATAAGTCTCTGCGACGAATTCGGGGAGGTAGTTGTATTGTTTGTTCGGGATAGGAGTACGCTCGCCATTGACGCTGCGGATATCAATCTCGATGACTTTTTGCGCATCCGTGTCGACGATGGGACAGAAGTCAAGCGGGTGAGCGTACTGGTTATCCATCGGAGACTCCTGTACACCAGGTTAGCCCATTCCGTAAGAACAAGAGAAACTTCTGTGCGTACCCTATAGTACATTAACGCCTGCTGCATCCTCCTCTTCGCCCCCCACCTCTTATCAAATCCAATCGTCCATGCATCACAATAGACCTTACTCATGTCCTCCACGCCCAAAATTTTACACTGCTCAATTACCCCCGGATCACTCCTCACGATACTCTCGACCATTTCCAGGTCCTCAAGTGAGATCGTGGGACACATTCCCGGTCGATAAGCGAATTTTTCGACAGTGGAAGTGGTGATGTTGACAATGGCCTCGTGAACCTGGGGAGTACCTTTCTCGAGAGCGATGACCAATGCTTTACGATCCGGTTTGGGTCCGGTGGATTCGAAATAGGCTAGGAGCTCAGTTTTTGCGGGTTCATGGAGCGTGATCGTGTTGAAGCAAAGATCAAGGGGTGTATGCTGACGAAGCAAATCCGCAACGAACGGAATCTCGGAAACCGAGAGAGGATCTATGTGGATGAACCATTAGCAACTCCCTGAGCAACACCCTGATCATTCCCACATACCAAGTGGGTGCATCGCGACAACGTCCTTAGAAGGCATTAATTCGAGACTTCAATTGTTGAACAAGAAGGAGCAGATGAGGCTATCCTAACCTCTTTATACCCTGTCTTCAAGAGCCGATCGGATAAGCAATGAGCATATGACCCCTCCCGGTCCCGGTAACTCTAAGCGGTCGCATCGTATCCTCGTATTAATTTGGGTGGGGTGCGTGTGTAGATAGGGAATCCCGGGGCCGCTTTCGAGGTCACTCGACCGATACCGTACGTCGATATCAGATGCCCCCGGTGCATGTGCGCCTATCCGACTTAAGGTGCCGCGGAGCATGAGGGTGATTACAGATTTGAAAATTGAATAATGTAAGGTATCTAAAAGCAATTGCTCATACGCGTAACCCATGCGCTCTTTCCTTTCATATGCTTCTCCAAAATCCAAACTTCTGCCCACGCGAACACTTCACCGCCTGATCGTTCCTCGGCCCTGTCATGCAATATAATTTACGTATACTCTTCTCCATCGTACAAGTCCTTTTCATCCCCTCTAACTGCCGTCAGATTTCACATCAGTCCTCTGTCGAGTTTCACCCGTCGGTCCCTGTCCTTCTGGGATAACAACGCCGTGCTCACCCAACGACATTATCCGACAAATTCACCAACAACTGCGCCAAACACCTCTTCGTCCCCGTATCCCCCGCCAAAACCTGGCTAAACGTTGCGTCCCTCAACGGCTCCGGCAAACACTGTCTCAACGCCTCTCGTGCTCTACAAAAAAAGTCAGCTCTCCAATCACACAAATCTTTCACGTTTCACGATTGACGGTGGCATACCTCGGGTTATCACTCAACCTCAAGTAACACCTCACAACATGCTTCAACAACCTAACCGCCTGCTGCTCCACCAAACTCTGTACCATATTCCCCAACACAGTCCCCACCGCATAAAACCTCTCATACGTCTGGCAAATATACGCCAACCCTAAATCATCCAACAAAATCTTTTGCACGATGAAGATCGCCACAGTCTTACTCAGCTCTGACCCAGTTTCCATGATGCGGAGACAGAGTGGGATGATTTCGGTGGAGAGGAGGAAGTTGATGACGGAGGTTGAGTCATTTTTGACGAGGGCGCCGATTACGCCGAGGGAGGTTAGGCGGAGGTATTCGAAAGGGCGGGATTTGGAGGTTGTGTTGAGGAAGGGGTAGAGGAAGAGGGGGATGTGGGCTGTAAATACACAACACGTCAGTCGACGGTATGAAACGGGGGGGG